TACAGGGCATTCTTATTATATCCTTATTATATCCTTCATTATGTTTATATTCCGCGCCAACGTTCTTATACAAAATACTTTGTATTATAATAATTAATAATATCATAGTTTTAAAGTTATGCAGGGATTGACAAAGTCTGCTGTAAAACGCTGCTGTGTCTTTACTTCCCTCTGTTATTGAAGATGTTATAGAGATGTAGAGATGTTATAATATCGGTGGTCAAATCGAAATTGATATCTCTTAAACCCCGATAAGATTATTATGGCATATTCAAAAGGTAAATAAACAAGTTTAGATAGCTTGCAAATTCTATCAATGATAGATTTTGTGTGATTAATTGTAGACTTTGGGCGATTAATCATAGATTAAGAACACTTTCAAAAAGTGATAAATGATAATCGAAACATGGGTTTCATCCAAACATGAGTTTTTTATAAACATAAAAACCTGTAGATCAGTGTCGTAACTTTGCCATGTGGCGCCCCCACATCCAGATAGGCGGCAGGTCGGCAGATAATCTGCGAGGAAATTTTGATGTTATGTGTTAGCTGAATCATAAACCTGGAACTGTACTCCTTCCATATCGTAACAAATCACCTGATATCACAAACTGAGATCTCTTTCGCAACCAGCAAGCTAGGGATGAGCAAACGTGCTAACAGTGTACACTCTACAGTAAACAGAGCCCTTCTGAAAAGATGACACAATAATCTGATGAATTGGTTCCGGTATCCGGACCAGTCGAGCAACACACTATGTTATCAATCAACATGATAACATGTAATCTAGAAATGTGAACATAATATGTAATCAGTGAGCAGTAATGTGAACATAATATGTAATCAGTGAGTAGTAATTCCCATTACTCATCTACTAGGTTATCTGGGGGGGGGGGGGGGGGGCGTGGCACTTCATCACCTCATTGATAAATAATATTACTCATTGATACTGCATAACTGCATACTGTACGTGAGCTGGCATTTGGCTTTTATTATTGATTAAATCATCGGAACGCTCCATCCACTTGAATGCTATCATTGGCTCTGCTCCAATGTTCATTTTGGCTATCTGACCATGAAGAAGACATTAGAAGACATGAAGACTCCAAATGTAGTGACATCTAGGATGGGCAAGATAACACGTCCTGACGTCCTGAGACATTATAAAGTTCTTATTTGGGTGGTGCTCATTTTAGCGGTGAACCTGAGGTGAAATAAGAATCTACAAATTATGACCTAAGAAACAGACTCACCATTCACTTATTATTTATCGGTCATTGTCATAACAATCGTCAACAAATCATCAGAGATCTAGTACTGCTGCAGACGACCCTTTGTGTTGACCGATAATAACCTCGTCTCTCACGGTCATATTCATGGTTTATAGAACGGTTTCTGTGGCAACGACCAATCACGTGACCCCACATGATAATTAATATGTCTAATTATGGCAATTTAAATTGTCATCTTGTCCCCTTGTGTATTCTCTACGAGACAGTAGAAGTAGGTGTGTAATTCCATGTTGAGGGAGAGTCTTGAGGAACAAGTGCTGGTTCTTAATTTCTTTTTCTAGGATAAGTGCAGACCTCGGAGTGAATTATCGGTCACTTTACCTGCATGTGGTGCAGATCATAGGTTAATTAATAAATAATCAGATTTTGTGGATTGCATTTGATTTAAGGACCTCGTTTAAATCAATCGGTGACATGACAATTTATGTTATCCCCGTCTTTAATACTTCTGAAAACTCTGGCGTTCGAGTCCAAACCATTTACAGCAATTCATATAAACCATATTATTAGATTATTACATTAACCATCACACCAAAGACAGAGTCTATCTGCCCTGCACATGAAATACTGTGATCTCCACAAGGATTCATTAAATCATCTCCACGTGAAAGTGCGAAACCTGCACTTTTTAATCACTTCATTAGGGAGATTTATTTAAAGATTTTGTGCAAATGTGTGTGATGTTTAAAAACCAGACTAAATTAAAATACCCTACTCAGGCAGTAGAGCTTCTGGAACTTTTAACATGCTGCGTTAAAGAATGCGCTGAAATATTTGGTCGGTCTTGTAGGGGTTGTGTGATTTGGTGTACAGCGTGCCTTTCAGCGAAAGGAGCGTGCCTTGCTGCTAAACATTCAAATTACTTCAGAAGCTCCCGAGACAGTGCATGCTTAGCACACTTAGCGAGGCCCTCAGAACGTCACCAAATTCCAAGACACAATATCCGGACAAATAGTCTGAATATTTGAAGATAATCTAAAAGGACGTTGAGTTTTAAACCTGCCGACGTTTTTAGGTATCTACCTAAAAGCTCCCGACACAGGGTACTTAGACTGTAGGAGTAGAGTAAATCGAGGTTGCGAGGAATTTTTGCTTCTTTTGAGGGGCCACGCCTCCCGAAAGTTGTTGATTTGAAAGTATTTGGCCGCACATCACTACAATCTTATCTCAAATTCTGCTGTTATTTTACGGTATAGATCTTCTCAGAATACTTAAGATCCCAAACCCTTTTAAATACTGTAACGATTTTAAATATCACCTGGTTTCACGCCCAAAATCTCTGAGACATATTTAACGTCAGTAATGAATAGAAGTCCTAAAGTATCATTATTTAGTCTTCCACTGTCTGCATATGAGTTTATAAGCGGTTCAAGGTTAAGCTGCATTCAGGTTTTCCGACACTAACTTTAAAACATAGGAGCGACTTATAGTTGTGTATGTAGACAAAGATAGATTGCGGAAAGTGTCTGCTGTTTTTACTGTTTAATACGTTAATGAGTTATATGTCATAATATTGACGGAATCGGGAGAGTCTTAATTAACATTTATCGACGGTGGTCAAATGCAACTTATACCTATTTTATTGTATTTATAACATTTAAAATCGTACATCATCTAACTGCCGACAATCTTCTGGGATTAAATCGCTAGAACTGAAATTTTATTTCCAGTTTTACTCCTTTGTTATGTCCATTTACCATGGCCCTTACATCGCACCTGATTTATTTATATCTACGCAAGGATAATGGCTTCGTCGTATTCAGTACTTTTCTATTGCCCTAGTCTATACTCTATCGCTTGAATATAGAAGAGAAAATTGGCATAAGTTAAAGCTGAATGAAGTTGATTGAGAGAATGAAATCATCTTGTTAATAACGACAAAGAATTTATCTTTTAACACTAGTATAGGTGTACTTTAGATTGTTAAAAAGTGGTTAAATGTGTCATAATGCATGACTGTTAAAATCTTGCGTCCATTCTCACAGAAAAATTATACTTAATGAAAATATATACGTTAGATTCAATTAATATGACAACACTGTCTCCGCTCCAGCGGTTCAAAAGAAGCGGAAACTTTAAAAATCCACCAAATTGTGTCCGCTAAATAAGTTACTGTTAAATAAGGGTGGTTGATCAAATCATACCTCAAGCTGAACCACAAAATCACAAAATGGGAGCAGTTCGAATTTTTCAAAATCATCTCAATTGTTCCATAATGATTTGACAAGAGCTGAATGACGTTAATAACCTTCACTTCACTGAAGTACATAGCTATTTTCCTCTATTAGCAAGCAACTTTCATCTATTATCGCCTCTCATTGTCCTCTTAAGTTCTTAAGTCACCCTTTGGCGTTTCTATAGCGAATTTGTGGTGTTTTATGGCAAGGATCACAAATGACCTGCTCAACTTCACACTTTTACACGGAATTTATTTCGGTCTCTGAAGAAGAGTAGTGTTGTAATTGGCCACCACAGAATTGTGAACGCACCACATACTGATATACTGTTAACCTGCTCTAGTGAAGGGTGTGTAGAACTGCAAGTCTTTATGGAGGATACTAGGAGTTGCAGAGATCATTACTACGAATGACTTGCTATTTTAGTAGTTTATTTTTATCGCTTTACCACAATGGATGCTTGAGTAGGACCATCCTCCCAATTTCAAGTTACCACTAAATGAATTATACGAGACATGAGGAATCAGAAACGCCATCTTAGGGACGTAAGGAGGATTAGGATTCCTTGGACTACATTAAATCAATTCCTTCTGTATTATAGAATCATCCAGTTCTTGAAATTGAGTTAGTAAATTGGCTTCTTCTCAATTTGTATCTGCCTACGTGGTCTTCAAAAGTTGTTGGACTGTGCTAAAAATATGTCACGGAAAAGTTTGCATAGAAATCAGAATGACCTGAATTTGTAGAGCCTAAAATAAAGGAGTGCACTACACAAACTAACTTTTCAACATGCCAATCAAGGTTTGCCACTAGTCTGTTCCGTCCTCCCTGACCTTACATACTATGCACGCCTACGTCTGTGCTCTATGTCTACTTTAATAATGTTATTCAAAGATCAAAGTTGTGCAGCTGCTACTTTTATGAAGTTCTCGAGCTTAAAATTCTGCGGAAAAATAAACCATACTTTGGATTAAAGGTGTATATATACGTACGTGCATGACTTTAACTAAGTTATTCTACTAAGTTATTCCTGCTAGAATGTTGAATGTTGAATTATAAACGGGTTTTTGAGGCTTCTAGACGATGCGATGATCGGTGCAAGTAGTCAACAGCTCCCCTAACTGTAATCACATACAACAGCTCCATAATATTCTGTCACATATTTTATGTGTACAAGAAATGTATTTGTATGTTTCTCATGTTTGTATATGCGCTGTGAAGGGAGGTGTTTTTATGATTTAAACGAGATGCATGACCCCGAAACGATGAAAATATCTGACATTTTTTTACTATTAATAACTTCCTAATAAAAACCCATATCTCATAAAATGCTAAAGTTCTTATGTTCATTGTTCATGAGTCGCTTTAGATGGCTTGAACTGAATCTTTGGATTTCTTTTTGGCTATAAAGCGATGTATAAATTTCTAGTTATTATTATTATTGTTATTTTCACGGCAAATTTGACTGCAAAAATGAGCATTTGTGTTGCGGTACCAAGAAATTTGACCATAAAAATGGCAATACTTTCAGATGGATGTGTGGACAGTAACGCAGCGCAGAGAAAGGAAGGAGAGACTTGGATTGATGACTGTAAAACTTGCACATGTTATAATGGTACGTCTAGGTAACATACTGGTAACATACTGGTAACATACTGGTAACCTGCTGGTAACATACTGGTAACCTGCTTGTAACATACTGGTAACATACTGGTAACCTGCTTGTAACATACTGGTAACATACTGGTAACATACTGGTAACATACTGGTAACCTGCTGGTAACATACTGGTAACATACTGGTAACCTGCTGGTAACATACTGGTAACATACTGGTAACATACTGGTAACATGCTGGTAACATGCTGGTAACATAATGGTAACATACTGGTAACATGCTGGTAACATGCTGGTAATATGACTGTAAAACTTGCACAATTGCACATGTTATAATGGTACGACTAGGTAATCATTCCACCTTCACACTTTCATTCTTACTTCCCTTATCAGCCCAAATAATTCCGATCCTATGTTCCGTTTGGTCTCGAGAAGAAATGGTTAGGGCTGGGAAAAGTCCATAAGAACGAAAGAGAACCTTCGGGCCCTCCAAAGTTTGGGCTATTTCATGTCCTGAAATTTGATTGGAACTTTGAAATCTAATTGATAAGCGCTCATAATATGTTTGATTTAAGTGCCCATATGTATGATGTAATCACCATGCATTGGAGCAAGAAATCCAATTATCCTGACTCGTCTGCTTACGAAGAATAACAAGAATTGCGCCCGTTGTTTCGTTTTGGCGGACGCTAGATTTCCGTTCACTATATTTATAAATATAAGCTCTAATCAGCTCACTGCATAATAATAATATACACATAGTACACTATACTACGAGTACGCATGCCACGTACAAATTGGGCTCATTACCTAATACTATACATTAATTAATACACTCACGCCGCGCATTTATTGACATGCTAGCTATATACATCATATCTCCGCAAGCAATACTCGCGCGCTGCACTGCGCGCTAGTTGTCATGGTAACTAACGAAAGGACGGACGACATATTTAAACCCACCTATCACGACAGGTGGCATGGGACCGCAGGCTAAGACGTTCGAGAAACTACTATGCAATAAACTTGCATATAAACAAAAACAGAATTACAACGATATTATTAATTATTATCGGTGTAAGTTATCTTTTTTAATTAGAAAAATGATTTTATTATGTATAAGAGGATCTAGAAAAACCTCAAATAGAACTGTAGAATTATCTAACATGGATGATTTAGAATTTAACTCTTTCGAATCGAAAGTTAATTAATTTTTTCAGTCCCATGGACTGGTTTTTATTTTTGACAATGATGATATTCATTATATATAACCTGTAATACTATTCTGTATATATCTAATTTCGTTTTCCAAAAAAAAAAACCTATCTCGTTCTCCAAAATCCACGTTTTTCTGCAAAAACGTCCATTCGTAACCTTTCACTATTGTCTTTTTACAAAAGAGTGTGAACGGAAAAAATTTGGCAAATATCCTGAATGATAATCCAGCGAAGAGCCGGAAAACAAAAGACTGATAAAACTTGTGTTCGGAAAACTTAGGTCCGAGAAGTAACTTTTCTGCGTTGGTATACGTAAATTATACATATCATGTTTTTCTCTTAATATTAAAACTAAAAATATTGTAATTTTGCTAACCATGGCTCATCCTGGAATGTTTTGTATAACCCGCTACTTCTCTATTGTTCTCCTCCGCCAAATTCTCACACTTTGCAGTTTTCAGAACCTTCTATGATTTACGTCTCCTCTCATTAAATAAAATTTCAACACCCGGCGACAATATCTAGTAGTAATCAATATGTTATGTTGAGCGACAACTTGGTGTTAGCATGTTTTATGTGACTTATTATTGTGACATTGTTAGGTAACTCAAAATAGTGGCGAAAGTGCCCTGTTTGCAGAAAATATTTATTTAACAATAATTTTCACATAAATTACCAACTTTTCCGTCGAATCAATTTGCATTGACAATTGCTTATCATCGGTACTACTACTATACTACTGATATAGCGACACGTACGGGCATTTAGTTTGACGTTGAATTACTACCATGGCTTCAGGATTTACATCAATCAAAATATGGGCATTTTCAATAAATCTTTCTGAACATCTCGAATCTCGATACAGTCCTAAAGACAGTCCACAGTACCTACTATAATTTTAACTTACCAGCATGTTTTTCACCACGCACAATTCTCCCTTGAAGTACATACTCAGATGTTTTTAAAACATTCAGTGCAGTCCACACCGCTGCATAACCCACGACACGACTGAGTCAGGGAGCCCGGACGGACAGCCTCCGAGACTGATCCCTACAAACACCTGGCTTTATGCAGAACACTACCCTATATACACTATATTATAATACATAATTATTACATAACAGTATTGTAATACATCTTTGTAAGACTTGAAGGAGTGCCCGGAGAGAGCAGCCATATAAGGTAATACTCAGGGGGATACGGTACCCAGACCAGGTAGTCCGTTACAGTGCTTCCAATGACTTGCTATACAACACGCAGTTTAAGGGTGGTAGTTACACTTGCCGGCTAGGATCGCGTGGAGGAGGAGTGGGGGATATATACTGAGGGAGATAGTTGTTGACAACGATGTATGATGTGCCCCGCCCTGATTAGCTGATTTCGGGAGGAGTTATCTGGAGAGAGAGAGGGGTAGCTAGTGGTCTGTGTGGGGTGATGAGGTAAATGTACTGTGAGGAGATACGGAAGTCTTCTTGGGTGTGGTTGAAAGATTTATATTTGTTGGAAAGATGTAGTTGTTGGAAAGGTTTAGTTTAGAACTTAAGCCTTAGGATGTAGTGACTGTACCAGGTACCTGATAAGCGGCATTTTGGTTGTATGTAGTAGAGATGAAACAAATTTGCATATCCGATTCAAACATGGTATGAACCTGCAGAAAAAAGTTTATCTTTTCACTTGTGAAGTAAGCTAGAGTACGCTGCCGATTTGCTATTTGGTGACCAGATCGCTTTTTTGGATGATGACGGAAATATTATCACACGTCATCAAAAATTTATAAATTAAAATACTAGGTCCAAAATCCCAGTAAAAAAAACTAGACCGGATATTAAAATTGATGATAATTTAATAAATTATAAGATTACTTTGAGACAAAAGAGAAGCTTTTATCTAATCATTTATGTTACAATACCTTGAAAAAGCAGCGTAAATGTTTAAAAAATGGAAATTCATGTTGTAAATGTTGGTTTAAAACTAAATGTAGTAAAACCCCGATTTACCGTACCCGGATTTATCTTATACGTCTTCCTTTTCCCTCCAAAATTTTGGAAAATTTCTTCATTTTTAATTCGATGACACCTACTACTTTGAAATACAGCTAATAAACACAAAACGTGGGTGATCCCTAATGTCAAGCAATCTTGTACCTACAATATTTTAAAACTTGAGCTCGTTTTCAGTCTAATAGCCACAAATTTAATAATCTCATTCTATTTGAGCTGCTGAGTACTGTGTTAAATGAGTAGCTTTGGAAAGTTTTAAAATTAGTCTGGATTTCCTTCAGTTACTCTAGTTATTTTTATGCTACTAATTATTTTGTAGCCCGGATATATTTTAACATTTAAGTGTCAACTATGTAAAAATCAGCTGAGCGTTATTAAAATTCAGTGAATAAATTTCTTGTTTCACATGGTGGCATAATAAAGTGAGACCGCTTAGGATGGAATTCCTGGCGTATCAAAATTTCTTAAGACCTATGGGCTTTGGCGTACGTTTGATGGCATGGAATTCACGATGCTAAACACGAATAATTTTCTTCATGTCAAATAGCTTGACAAAATTCTTTAGCATATTCATAATGTCATACTAAAATGACCAATATTTATTTAGGCACATCAGAGTGTAAAGCCCACATTTGTCCGCCCCTACAATGCAAAGAAGCAGTGGTCGTTCCTGGGAAATGCTGCCCTATCTGTCCCACAGGTATCCGTTTGCGAATGACATCATCTCATCTTATCAGTTACCATTTTATTTGATGAATTATTAAGCACTGATTTCAACATGTCAAGTGAGTATCACGAGAAATGCCCGAAAACACGACGAGCTGGAACGCGCATTATCATTCTGAACAACCAAAAAGTTCAACAGCGGTTGCAAATATGAGCCGCGCACGCTCCATTTAGCTCGCCACATGTCGAGCTGTTTCCCGAAACTTCTTGGTCTTAAATTTCATCGTAATGACCTATACTTAGAAACTGTACAATGTACATTAATACAAATTACCTTTGCAGTCATGCAAAACGTTGTTACTGAGGCGGAACAGAAATACGTGATAGTTATTGTCGCGAAACAAGACCTCCACACAATGATGGAGCGACAGAACAGCTTTCTGAAGCATCTTCAGAATGGCAACGAGTTTACCTTCACCCTCAAGCTGCTATTTTCTTCAGACATAAGACTACTCCGAGCAAAGTCTTCATCTAGCAGTAAATTTGCGGGGTAATTTATTCATACTAGCTATCTCATTTTTACCTGAGACAGCAAAAAAAAGGGGTGATCAGATTTTTGTCTCACGTCTTGGTTTCTAGTAGATTTATCCATCCAACTTCTCTGAGATTTAGAGTATTTTAATTTATAGCATTACAATTCATCTCAACTTCAGGTGTGTAGCCCTGGTGAATGCAGTGTTAAAAAACGAAAAAGGCTTTGTCCTAGCGAATAAGGTAGTGTCGCAACTGGACCACAAGGAGCTAATGATGGTAGAGCCTGACGTTATTGATATCCTAACATACTCTGGTGAGTCACAGACTCAGCTTCTTACATTGCAATTTGTTCGATTTGTTTCAGTATTTCAATAACTAAAATATCGAATATAAGTTATTGATTGCATGTTATTAGCATTGTCTGCCTTTGAATTTGCTTATTATATTTGCGGGCGTTACAGGTTACTAGATATTATATAAAATAGTGTGGGAAGGTGTTTGTTGAGTTAGGTCCCGGACTCGAGTAAAACAATTTATTTTTATCAGTAATTCAAAAAAGTAATAATAACTGCATTGTAGAACAATTAACCGTACACAATTAGATAAAATATATATTTCATGGTTTCTTACAAAACAAACGATAAATAAATGCCATGTTAACTACTGATTGAAAATTAAGATAATCAACACTTACGTAATGGTAATATAACGATTAAAATACTCTATATAATACAGAGTATATAATATAATATGTACTATTCTAAGCTGAGGCGATCATTCCTTCTTCGTCAATATAAAATATAAGATCTTCTGTCCCTAACATCTGACGATACATTCTCATAACGTAACAACTCTGCTCCATAACGGTACAAACATAAAACTGCGAATGCAATTATAAAAATAAGTTTTACAATAGTAAAACGTTTTATAGTCTAACTGAATTTTATTCTTATTTTTATAACTGAACGTGCATTATCTGAACATTATCCTAACACAATCACCAAATAGGAAAAAATCTCTGGTATCTCGTAAAATTGATATCTTGAATAACATCATATTCATTCTGCGTCAATCTAAAAAGTTGATCAAATTCAAACACCCTCATACTTTTCAGGATTTTTAGTCTTATACGTTTCATAAGTTTTATGAACTGCCGCAATCGTTTCATAATAATCAGTAGAAATACTGTTTACGGAGTATAGTTCTAAGGAACTAACATCGTTGTATGGACTTGTGCAATCTCCCCTAGCGCCCATCTTTACTATCATCAACTCCCCTGATTCGCTCATTATTGAAGTTTGGGCAATTTCTGCGGTCGGCAAGGCTATGCCCTGACTGACGCAATAAACTTCGAGCTCCTCGATATAAGCTCGGAATGATATGAAATAAAGCCAGGCCCAATCAAACACATTGTCCTTACCAACCACCCAAATCTCACGGTCCTTAGTTGGGTTTATTGGCACAATCACTGCAGCAGATTTATGTTTGAATCCCAATCCCAGTGCAATATGAAGATCTACGATATCCTGAAGATAATTCCCTCCTGTGTCAGCTTTATATCTTTTCCCTGCGTCGTCTATTTCCCCAAACTTTCCTGGATAAAATCCAGATCCTACGAACATCTGAATGTGAGGATGAACCTGACTTGCTCCAGCTTTCCCCAAAACATCCCAAACCAAAACAGGGTGAGTCTTCTCCGGGTGCCTCTCGTGGATGTTCCCAAACCAAGTTAAAGCGGAGTATGTCAGCATTGTTTCGAACGTCTGAGCATCAACATCCATGAAATTATGAATGTCTGCTGGGATGACCATTCCCGTGTAGTCGTAGAACCTGAACGCGTTTTCTGCCGTGAAAATGTGAGATTTCTCCCAATAAACCCTTCCAAAAGTATCCTCTAGGGTTTGCTTATCGTTACAAAAGTTACATCCAGGCTTGCTGTCCGCGATAATCTTTTCCACGGCGAGCTTTTCCTCGCCGCCATTTGAGGGTTTGGGTCGCAACGCTCTGAGTGGGTTCACAGTGGACGTCTGCGAGGTATACCTATCAGAAACAATCATAACTCTGGGATGTTCGAACTTTGCGTACAGATCAACATCTCCGCCGAACCACTTGTCCCTCACCAACTCTACCATGCTCTTTGGAACCCTAACTTCAGCTCCGCTGATCTCCACCCTGTAAATCCTGTCCATTAGCCCCCTGAGAGCTTCATAACATTTGGGTCTCTTCACCCCTGAATTTGAAGTGTTGAGAATATCTAGAAGGTTCTCGATATTGTCTGGTCGGATACAGGAGGAAGGGAGTTTGAGACGGGTGGGGTACGCAGTGTAGTGCTGGTGAAGGAGGAAGAGGACAAACAGGGCTCCACAAGTCAGTCCGATAATAACCGGTTTCTTTAGGGTTACCGACATCATGTTGTGGTCCTTGGGATTGGGATTTAGAATTGAGCTCACAAGTTACAAGCTCTGAGAATAATGATTACAATATTTTGACGTTATAGAGATATTATCAAAATGGATTAGATTACAGAAGTACATATCTGGTGTCAAAAATGGTCGTCAAAAGAGAAAATTATGTATTACTCTATTACTGCAATCGATTTTATTGCTGCTAAGACAAACTAAGATAAAGTAAGTTCAAGAAATAAGAGGCTGTCACTATCTCAGCCATGACATGTACAAACATAATGTATAGTCCTTCCAAGTATGAACTAGCACTGAGCATTACTAAACTCCTATACAAATTTAACGTGAACCAGTTAATTTCCGGCGTCGGGTTCTATGGGCTAATACACGAACAATTATAGAACTTTTAGTAACCATTTCGTTATAGAATAATTAACAATTTGTGTGGAGCAAGAGTGTTCCGTGTTTCGAAGTTGTACAGTATTACCGTACAGCAGGGCCCCAGCAAAGCGAAGACAAAGACAATCAGCAGCTAAAGGAAATGTGTATATGTTATGACTTATGTAACGCAATCTATTTAAAGAAATAGTTTATGTAAGTTCAATAGTAAATTATTCCTTATTTAAGTTTTAAAATTATAGAGCTATCATCAAAATTCAAAGGGGCCATCTATTTGGCAAATAGGGAGGGGGTGGTTTTGGGATTTCGGACAAATCCGGACAGGATTTGTCCGAATTTCATGTGTTATACTGAACAATCGTGTAACACTCCGTTATATACGCGCTGTTCAACAATCCAACCTGAGAGTCCAACTACCTAATATAACCATAATTATAAGGCTGAAATTTGGCGAATTGTTCTGCTAGGCAAGTGCAGAATCGCACTAATTGCAAAATTAACTCACTTGTATGTTGCCTCTGGCCATGAAATGTACAAACATAATGCATAGGCCTTCCAACTATATATTAGCACACAATAACCATAATATAGAATAATTACCAATGTGCGTGGAGTTAAACTGGTAATGGTTGGGGTTTCAAAGTTATATTGTAATTATACAGTAGTCTCACACTCACAGCTAGTGAGCAGCTAAAGGAAATATATTATGCTATGTAACGTTATCTATTTAAAGAAATAGTTTGTGTAAGGTCAATAGAATTCATAAATTAGTCCTCATATAAATTACAAAGGGTTGAGGGGTTGCCGACGGATGATCAAATGATGTCACGTTTGAAGTTGCTAGCGACGATAAAGTTTTTACTGTTTAGCGACGTGGCTTATTTTCTACAAAATTGAGTGACGGAAATAAAGAAACTTCTAGAAACTCATCCTCATAGAAATGTATCCTAATATGCAAAAAAACAAATGTACACTATCTAATGAGTTTTTGCTGCTCAACATTAAATTTGAGACTCCTTCCTTTCTCAATTCTTATGGGTCACCCAACGAAACACTGTAACACTCCCATCAACTCCCTACAATAAAAAACATACTGTTATTCTCGAACTATTTACTACGTACCCCTTATAAACCTAACTCTATTTTCAGAGTACCTAGACTTATCAGCCGTAACAGCCGCTACAACAGCGGAAACCTCCAGAGTTAGTGTTGGTGCAATAGTCGGAGCTGCCATCGCCTCCCTTATCATAGCAGTCCTTCTCGTGCTGTATGGCACTCGCAGGTTGGTGGAAAGGTCCCTTTTAATTCATTACTATTCATTAGTCACTATTCATTAGTCACACTTCACACTTCACAGGTTCTCCAAATCATGTGCAGTGGAGATACAACAATCTAACAATCTAAATAAAGTGCTGGAAATTTAAAATCCATTTCAAATTTGCCAGAACGACGGACGATACGACATTGCAGATAAGAATAAATTGTATGATAATACGATGGAAATCGTATGACTATTCCCCTTATAAACAGGAAAAATGGATGTAGCGATCATCGACACACTGAACATATGAATAAACTTGACCTTCTTACAAAATAAAACCTGGGGAATATTGCACTAAAGTATCCGTCAAAAGTCAAATTATCCTAAAATTGCAAGGAGAAATGTGAGCTCATACACAAAGACAAACCACTGTATAGGATACTGCGCTGACATGTGTTCATATATACGGCATTTCCGTGATCAAAATTACCTCTAACTTTATACATGATATGTAATATGTTTGGAGTATCTCCAAAAGAATGAATAAATTATAGCTATATAATATATTAATATTATAATAACATACATAAATAATTCACAAGATTCCTAGAAGAGGCTTGCTTATAAACAAAAAAACGGACAGCCAAAATTCGAATACAACCTCTTGCAAATTAAAACAGCAGCTAAAACGTTCACATATTACGTAAGCCAGCCTAGGGGGATACGGTTTGAAAAGGCTAATTATTTAAACATGATAGGCTAGTATACAATAACCTATGGAGGGGAAAGGGGCGGACTTAAATAGAGCAAAATCTGTGTATCTGTCTGAACGAGAAATTTGAAATGTGAAGGATCTCTATAATTGGAATTTGAAAGGACAATGCCTGCATACCTCATGACTCATGAGGTACAACTACAGCACCGGAATTTACCCACCTTCTGCCATTTGAATTCTTTTTTTTTTTCATTGTTACGACCAGTTTCCACACGGTTCCATGTTACACCCTGCCTCCCCATTACAGTTGGGGTGAAGGTGAAGATACGGTTAGGTTTAAAATAAAGGAATCACATGCCAAGAGTTAAACATAGGGGTGTGAAATGTTGTGAATCCCAATCCAATGTTAACAATATGGAGGATAAACTGCAGCTGATGTAAGGACAATAACTGAATCTTTACAATATTGAGGATACAACATAGAATAAGATGTCTAGAAAGCAAAGGCCGTTTGCATGAAATGAACTGCGTACAACTGACGACTATTATAACAACTCTATGCGGCAACACAGAAGAAAACTAATCCATAATCACCGATTCGTATTTATACATTGGTCACTAATTACTTATTAGTAATCAGTGACCATGATATTTACATAATGTAAGAGTTCTACACAACCTGAACAAAGGCGACAACTATATTGTTAAGTGAGGAACATCCACACAAAAAGTGAGAGCTAAATGAGAGCTGTATGAGTGTGATTATATATACTATCCTGTGTGATGAATGATAATGTCCTAAGTGTTCGAGCTGGACGATGTACTCGGTACTACTATACTGAGTATACACTATACATTGCATAATTCACAAGTGCAGCGTGATCACGTGAAGGAGTGACTGAGAGAATTTAAAGTCAGGAAAGAGATTAAATCTAAATATTCACGCTCAAGCCCGGAAGAGAGCCATCTCCGTGTTATACACAAGAGCAATGATTAAAAGTACACGTTGACAATGACATGTAACTAGCTGCCCTCTTACTTTCCATACCGGGCATGTTGCCATACTATCTGCAGGAGAGAGAGCTCCTTTGTAATGACCAGAGAAATGAATGAATGCTCTCTTAAATTGCAATCACCTAATTGCAGGGGAGAATGTCTTCAAAACGAAACTTTAAATCAGTAATACTAATAACTAAAGTAATGTTTAATGAAGTAAGGTGATATTGGGAGAGAATAAAGAACGGCGAACAAAAGACAAATTATATCTGGTACAAATCCCAGCGTTAGATGTAGAACAATGACGAAAGTTGCATTTTTATGGCTAGTGGAGAGAAGCGGTGGCAGCTGGCGATGTTAATTCACTGCACACTGGTTGCTTAGCAAAACATGTTGCGTACTAAGTGAAACGAACTAGGTTTAATATGGCATAATGTGCAGGGTCGACATTACGTAGGTTTCTGTAATCTGATACATGATATTAAACAAGTCCTGCTAGCAACCTAGCCTATAATCTTATGAGGTTTTCACGAGTATTTAGTTACATAACTTAGATACTGGCATTATGACAAGTTATACCCTGCAGAGAGTAACGAAAGGAATACGGCACAGCTTACATTTACTTCATCTCGTGCATTCCATACGTGCTGGTTTCTTGGCAACGGAACAATTCAAAGCAAATAAATAATCCATGATTCATAATGAATTTGCGATTAACTAATACCGAAAATTTCTGTAATAAGATTACGAAGAAGAATGTACATCGCACATCAGCGTTCATTTTATTAGTAATTCAATATGGGTAATAACTTGATGAAGATAATATTAATGGCGAACATGCTAAATCACTCGATAGCACTGGCCGGAACATCGAGAATTTTATAAAACTAAAATAATCGATTTATTTGTAACCAATCACAATTGATATATTTGTGACCGCTGATTCCGAATCACCCCCCATGACATAGGGTTAAAATGATTCCCTGACGAGTTAACGGCAACAAACTATTTTGACATTGACGGATGTTACTGAATGCCTAAATTTCTTCGAAGTAACGCGCGCCGCTTTCTTATCGAAATGGCACGTGCTACGAAGTAGCGCGCGCCGGGCCAGACCATTACCAATGGTCAATTTTGACAATGACAACATGACAGCCATTAGCAATATAACTACAAGGAAGTACGTCAAATTTCTCGTTAGGGTTTCAGCATATGCTTGAGTTATAGGGTTATGGTATTGGTAAGGGTTGGGCCCAGAGTAGAGGGTTTGCCGGTTTGCGGGTTTGTGCAATGTGTTTTGAATTTTCTGTCAGAGCCATCTAGAGAATGTGTTAAACTTAATCACATGATAGTCCAGTGTAGACTGTAGAGTGATTTATCATCATTCAGAATTTGTATCTAAAAGTAAAACAAACAATTATCAAGATTTTAGGTACAACGTTTACAATTACAGTTATTTCTCTAACAAATCTGGTCCAGGTACATGATCCTGTCACACAGACGGAAGTTCAAACACTCCGCCAGTATGGGCGCCAGTGCAGATCAGCTGATCCACACTGTCGACGCAAGTCGACTGACCATCAACTTCAGTCGTACTCGACCAGTAAGTGCTTCTACTTATCCAGCCTTTCGTTTACGTGGGGATAATATTCTACTTTCAGTTTTAAACCCTCTGCCAATTTATATTCTCAAACTAATATCCTGCCCATTTCAGAGTATGGACAGTGAGTTGTCAGTAGGAAGTCCTACTCCTTCCGATCTGTCCCCGGCATCCTACCAACCAGTCCCAATACGGGGCCACGACAACTTCGCCTCTCAATACAACCCCCTCAGCCAAGTCTCAAACGCGATACCCGAGGCAGAGGACCCCAACTCTTGAGACTCTCCTCACGTGACGTCACATGTTGTGTGACGTCACGTGATTTATGACTATGTGGTACATGTTGGTGTTTGTGAAGATCGGTGAGCTCAGAATTTGAGGTGTTTTGATTGTGCACGGGGTTGCATGATGACCGATGAAACCAAGGAAGAGAATACTGAATTAACCTGCTTAAATTAAACTGAATATGATCGGTCATCTGATTAGGAAACGCTCACATATTACACCAGCAAGATTTGGAAGATTTGAGACCTCCTTCCCCTTCCGCATAAGAAGGTTTTAACACTGAGTTATCGCACAAGAATATCACAGAACTACCCCCGGAATCGTGGGTTGCTGACGTAATATGTGAACGATCCCTGAATTGTACTTACTCAGACCGTAAAGAGTAAAACTCTTCATATTTTCAGAAGACGTGGCACGTGTCACTATTATATATTTGTGCGGAGCTAGACAAATTAAAAAACCAATTTGATAATTTCATTTTTCCAGGGAGTTTTGTATGGAATTGAAGTTGAACCTTACCATTTTTGTAAAATTAAGACATGGTTAAGTTAAAATTCATGGCGTTTGAAAGAAACGTTTTTCTTGCAGGATTCTATTTTATATAAGTCCAACTTTGGGTTAAAACCGTCCCCATTACTCGGGATGGTGAAGATTTCTGAGAGTTTCGTGTAAATGTTACCCAGCAAGTTTTGGCTAGAAATTAATTAAATACAAGGACAGGTTTATTTGTTAATTATTTGAAAACATATTTTTTGTCAGATATATGAATGTGCAGGATCAAGATTTTAAAGATATCGAAGATTTTAAAGATATCGAAGGTGCTACATCCTCAATTTACCTAAATTTACGATCAAATGACCCCGGAATTAATTCTTTCGTTGATGACTGATGAGATGTCAATTTTTGGATTTAGGGCCTTTAAACCTACACTGTATTTATTTAGTGATGTTTTGACTTGAATAAAATGTTCGAGAGTTTCCCATGATTCGTGAAAAATACGCTGTGCATTATTTTCAAAAACAAGCTCCAGTTTTCCTCCGCAATATGGATTCCATTTTATGCAGGAATTTAGTCTGGGATTACTTTATATAGGCCCATATGATTTTGAAATCCGTTCTCTCTTCATTGCATTGTCTTTGACTTTGAGATTGACGTTATCTTCCCAATCATAAAATTACGATCCCAGGTATTATTATTCTTTAATTAATAAGTTAATTCAAGTTTCGCTTAGCCTTGATGTTAAATTCGCAGGACGAAATGTTTCTGGTTACATCCAAGCAGATTTTATAGTGAAGAGTTGATATTTATATTCGTATTTGTGGACTGTTCAATAGCTTCATCTTCACAATAACTTTTACAACTTTTACAAGTTTATACAACGAATAACAAAGTTGTCATTTTACTTTGCTTGAAGTGATGAATTTAAAATAAAACATGCATATTACAAACTATTAATCATAGCGCTATGAGTGATTTTTATACTTTCAACAATTTTTGCAATGATCAACCCACGGCAAAACTAAAATCCTCGAAAATAAAGATAAACGATCCCCAAAACTCAGCAAACCATGATGAATGCAAGATTAGCCATGCAAACACAAAAAAGGTAAAACTATAAGAAGTTAGCGTTCAAGTAATTAAACTAATCTAAAAATCACACAATACGTCTTTTTATTCGATTATTTGGGACGAATGAGAGTCTTCACTCAGTGTAATAAACAAAATGTTGTCGACGTTTCGGCAACACGCCTTTGTTAAACTTAAGGACACTTAGTGGAGACTATAATCTGTCCCAAATAATCGAAAATGATGATCGACCCAATCACGACAGAAATAAAAGATACCCAATACGTCTTTATACTCGGACGCATTAAAGTTGAAGTATTGGTATTCAAATATGTCCGGGGAAAACCTCCTGTGACATTTTTCTTACACTGCTAAATTAAAATTAGCCTCTTCATCTTCTCAGTGCCGAACAATTTACTATAAGAATCTTTCGGATAATTAATAGCGAAAGCAAATGATCGTCATCAGGTTTCAATGCCACTAATCTACTATTTCAAATCTTTGTACACGTACGGCGTACATAAGCAAATGTTTCATTGTTGATGGTAGATGTACATTTGCGGGTCTTCTCGTTTCTTCATGGTTATCATAAAACCATATCTTGATTCAACTCTTAGCATTAACAGCCTCATCTAGCTATTAAACTCAACAACAGCGCTTCCAAGGAAGAAAGTTTCCACTTAGGATTGGTAAAACAAAGGAGTGAGAGTACCCTCCTCTTATCTCCTCACAACACCCTCACCACTATTGTCCTCAGGGGTTCTCCTGGATATTATATCAAAATAGCTTGGCTGTTGCTCACTCTCACTCATCAGAGGAGAGGACAGGTCGTCTGCTTTGTCTTCTTCAAACCCCTCATCTGATTCCTCTACTAAAAGAGAACTTCGTTCTGTTTCCGGTGGTATCCCCGCCTCTATAAGGGATCTAGACACTAACTCGTTCACATCAATCTGATCGTAACCTTTCTTGAAGCTGGACGTTGCAGATAAGAAGTCCTCTAGTTGTAAAGAGTTAGTGTTGTTTTGTGTCTCCGGCTTTCCGTCCGTATCTGCTACGCTTCCAGGTTCCTAAAAATAAATACTTGTAATCTTGTACAAATTTGCAACTGCTATAAAGTATATGTAATGATCTGGGAAGATTAGATGGTACATATTTATAGATGATAAAAGGGTGGAGCTAAAAAATAACTTTACCCTTTAAAGATAAATCAAGGTCGATTTAGTCAATAGTCGTAGATAGCATTTTAAACTTACCACGACTGATGTGCTGAAATAGTCTGCTAAATCCTGAAGCAGATTTTTGCCAACTCTATCTAACCGATCTTCTTCAACATTTTCATTCGTAGCTTCAATCTTCACTTCTTTCTTTTCTGCAGGCATCTTTTCCTTCTTATCCTTCTTTCTCTTAGAAGTTTCCTTCTTGTTAGATGAATTGACATCTTTCAACGTAGCAATAGTGTGCACTTCGTGTTCCTCCCGGAAGCGAACTTTCTTGTTCTTGGATCTGGCTGTGTGGAAATAACTGAATCAATTTCAGTTTTAATTTAAGGTAAAATAACATAAGTCATAACCACCATTGCCTAAGTTATAACCACCAAAAGAAGGGAAACCAAGCTTTTGTGTACAGTGTAAAAAAAGCAGCGACAAATGTTAAGATTTTTAAGAACTTTTGGTTACAAATAACGTAATCTCACGCGAATTAGGTGAGTCGGCATCCAGGGTAGCATTTACAGTTTTCTCTTCGTCATCTAGCTCATTATCAATGAAACCAGCGATCATTTTAGAAACGTTCTTGTTGTACTCTATATCGATTTCCTCCTGATTAAAAAACAGCATTAAATCAGCAATTTGTAGTTCACACGTTACCAAACATTTTCGTCAGCGATAGTCTGATCAATAACTATAAGTGACTTCGTAATGTTTAACTCATATGCTAACGAGCTGTGTTTTTATATGTATAATTTGTAAACTCACCAAACTGTCTATGGATGCATTATCATCCGCACCATCAGCATCAGTCATCATCCTCTGCTCCAAATCTAAATTTTGGTCTGTCGTAATCTCTGTATCCTTGACATCACCTAATGGAGGAGTATCTTCACTGTTAGTCACAAGCTCTGCGGGACCACCAGCTTGTTCTGATGTGATGTTGTTGAAAGATAGGTTTGGTTGAAGGGTCACAGTGAACCTACTAGTTGGTGGAGGGGGTTCTGGAGGTGTTGTAGTGCTTGGTAGAGACAAGCCAGGTACTGGATACAAGGCAGGAACTGGTGATGAGTCAGGTTCTTGACCAAATTTAGATTGATCCAGTTTAGATGAAGATGGATGGTTAGAAGTGCTTGTGGGAAGCGTAGAGGTAAGATAATAATCTCTTTTTGGTTTGTTTGGAGCAGAATAGTGCCGGCCCCTTTCAAAGGAAGTTGATCTAACAGGTGGCTCCGGTTCTGTATCCAATTTTTTGTTGGATCTCAGATCATCCAAACTGGTCTTTGGAGGGGAGTGATCACCCTTGTCTTTAGCTCTTAACCCCCGATCGCTCCTCTTCGTTCCCGTTCCGGCTGATCGTTTGGGAATGGTCGACAAACAGCAATCGTCTTCTAGTGGTGCTGCAACACTGGCGTTGGAAACATTGGGAGAGGCGACAAACTTTGGTCGAGGAGGTTTGTTAGGAGGAATAGTGCTCACAGGAGAATCTTCCACGATTGAGGTTGATGCACTGATAGATACGGCAGGTGGCGCTTCTTTGACGTGTGATTCAGATTTTAAAAGAGAACTCGAAGTAGGCTTGAGTAAAACGGGTGGAACGCGAAAAGATTCAACTTTACCAGGAACAGCTTTTCTACTTTGGGGCGTGGACACTATTTGGGTTTCAGGAGTAACACTAGCAGGTTTCAGCTGCACCATCCGTTTTGGAACAAACTGCTGTGACAATACCTTTCTTTTAAGGTCACTAGTTTTCTTAATTAGCAGTTCCTTGGGAGGTGATGTCCGGTCGGTGGGTGCAATTAACTTATTTTTACGAGTGAGACTCGCAGATATTGCACCGATATTTCTCATCTCTTTCTCCTTGCTCAGAATCTCAGAGGTCCTTGAGAAGGGTTTCAAATGTCGAGCTCTGTCTTTCCATAGAACCTGTCGGTAGGAGTGTCATGAGGAATTTGTAAGAAAAGGAATTTGTAAGGAATTTGTAAGATACCTAATCTAGCACAATTGCCAATTAAAACCAATAACGAGCTATTTGCCGAGCTAATTCGTGGAGCAGTTATACGTAAATGACAAAATCCTATTACAAATACAGAGAAGGGAACTTTGAATGAAAAACTCACTTGGGATAGGAATCTCCGAAAAGCACTCATATTTATTCTTGACATGTACATATCCATGGGTGTCACCTGATGAAAAATAGATCAGAAAATTTCTAACAAAACTAAGAGTCACGAATGACGAAAAGTGTTGACATTTGTAAGAACTTATGACATGAAACTGAAAATAGTTTGATAATTATTCTTTGCTATAATTCCTAGCCTAATTGGCAATTGGCAGCTGTATTTGGTCTTGTAGCTGCGAGGTGGTGTGTCAGTAAATCATTCATATCTTGTAGCTGTCGGCTGACATCGTAGGACCTTTCCGCAGAATTTTGCCTGCATGTACGGATTTCAAGGCGGGGCATTCCGTTACTAAAGGGCAAGTTCTCTTTATGTAAGCACCTTAAGCGCCAAACCCTAGTAATATAAGACTAAGCTGATATTTTGCAAAGAGACGTAGCAACTGTGACATTGGTTAACTGTGACATTGGTTAACTGTGACATTGGTTAACTGTTTACTGTGACATTGGTTAACTGTGACAGTGGTTAACTGTGACATTGGTTAACTGTGACATTGGTTAACTGTGACATTGGTTAACTGTGACATTGGTTAACTGTGACATTGGTTAACTGTGACATTGGTTAACTGTGACATTGATTAACTGTGACATTGGTTAACTGTGACATTGATTAACTGTGACATTGGTTAACTGTGACATTGGTTAAAATAGCTTTATTGCTGGTAGCAGCATGGTCATAGGGTGAGTCTCTGATTGGCGCATCCCAGGACTGTTGAATAGCTGTAAGCTGCAATGTTGCTTAATACCTTCGTGCCAACATCTAGCAGTTGCTTGAGGGTGGCTAAAGAAACACCTATCTTAACGAGGGAGTGGTCATGCTTGTAAGTCTCCAAGATTCCCGGGGAGAACCTAAACAAATCAACATTCTATACAGAAACATTCTAATCTAGATCAAATCTTTTCAAAAAGTCGAAATTCATTTATCCATATCTCATGGTTTCGCTCCTCTAAGTCTAGTCTCAAAACAGAAGGGTAAATGTAAAAATCCCTACCAGTCAGTGATGATGAGGATGATCTGCCCATCAGCCCAGTCAGTTGAGAGATTGTTAACTCTCTCATGATCTTCCTCGACCATCTTGTTCACTTGACTCTGAAATATTTGGAATATTATCCAACGCCATCATTTTAACAGAAAGGCACATATCAGATTGACTCCAGTATTATCTAGTTCAAAAATATTTCGAAAGTTTTATCAACGAAAACATGTTCAAAACATGTTCGACAATTCAATTCGACCATGTGCATATGCAAATCTTTAAAAGTAAAACTTACGATAATTTCAGTGAGCCCATTAACAACATTCTGTTTGAACTGCGGTATAACCAAATTCGTCGGTTTCATCTTGACCCGTGCCGGCGAGCCCAGCCCTAAAAAAGACTCCCTATCGCGAGTTTGGTATGGTGTTTCCGAAGAGGTCGTGTGTTTTTCCAACGCCACTTGCCTCGAATGTGTCTCTTTTCTTAGCTGAGACATTACTGAGGCAGCATTTTTAGGAATAATTTGTGGAGAAGCAGGAGGTGTTTTTGGCATAGTCGGGGGCGTTTTCTCGATTTGTGTCTGAGAGATGGCCCGACTTTTCGTGACCTGAGGAGGAGGGCCCCGCCCTAGGAAGAACTCTAGTTTCTTCCCTGAAGATAGAGTAGGATCAGGTTGCAAATTTCTTTTGGGAGGTGCCTCTGGTTCGGTGATTATGCCAACAGGAACTTCTTCGACAGCACTTTCCTTAGGCAGCAAAGATTCAGCCTCTTTATCTTTAAGTTCAAGAACACCTTCGATTCGGGGATCTTCATTTTCAATAGTGGGGATAGGTTTAAATATAGTTTCATCAGGAAGTTTTGACTGTGCTCTTATAGCAACAGGCTTCTGTATAAGGTGGCCTGGTTGCACAGTTTTAGGTTGCACCGATTGTTTGGTATCTTTCTGTCGCTGTTCTGGTGAACTTAGAGGAATTACCATTTGGGGAGATCCTATTCTTTTAATTTGTCTCTCAGGAGTTAGGGGCCGATTTTCTACAAGAATAAGGGTTCGGGACTGTCTTTCTGACGTCAGAGTCGGCTTTTCTGGGGTCTCGGATGTCCTTTCTAGAGTTTGTAATCGTTTATCAGGAGTCAGTGATCGTCTTCCAGGACTGTATGATCTTAATTCGGGGGTCAGCGGCCGTGACCGATTATTAGGCCAGTCCTGGGGGCTATGGACAGCTGCTATCTGCTGTTGGATAGGTTCAATGCTGGACCTGGTTTGAAATAGATTCGATAAGGTTGGCTCAGGTTCCGGTTCCGGTTCAGGTCTAGGTGTTTCAGGTTTTTCAAGAGTGACAGATTCACTGCTCCGGCGTCGAGTTTGTGCGGTGTCCACTACACTCAGAAGCCCTGCGATTTGCGAATTTCAATAATCTTATTATCCCAAAGATGAACAGTTTTCATTAACTTTGAATTCTAACAAACAAAATAAAAATGATTACGTTATTAATATTTTATTATTTATACCTGGCTGAGGTTGTGTGAACATATTCTTGCCACCGAAATGAGTCAGCAGAACCTTGGTAAACGCTAGACACAGTTTCTCGTTCCTGATTAGAATAAGGGACTGAGATTTGTGAAATAATGAATTGAAACCTGATATAGACAACAAAATATGTTGGCTCAGATAACTAAAATTCAGAAATGAGTACTTGTACATCAATTTGGAAACAATAGAGAATTCGATAGTTGGACATAAAATAAATGTCTAACCCTGATACAAGATCGCCAGCCACATCCATATTGATAAACCTACATCCTGCTGCCTTGAGGGCATCCAAACTTATTCTGATATTCTCGTATCTAGGAAAAGATAGCTGTTGGTGGAGAAGTTTAAAGTTTAAGTTTTGGTTTAAAGAGAAATACCATAGTCGTGGATAAAATCCGAAATATTTCGAGATATCACTCTCAGAGGTCGTTAAATAATCAGGTAAACAAGCATGACTGAATTCTAACTTGTGGAATGTCATTTTGGGATCCTCTCTGTAGGCAAATTTAGTCTGGGTAAGAGCTTGAGTCAGCTCGGGTAACAATTCTCCGTCACCCAGATCTGTAGTCAAATCAGTGACGATATACTCGGATCCGTTGTCTGACAGCTTGCACTCCACCTGGTAATAATATGGTGGTAATAACAATTTACAATGATCTCAGATAGTACATAATTTTAAAATTACTAGATTTATCGGCCGTAGGTTTTCCAGTTTCAAAAACGATTTAAGCACACCAATTCTTCGTGGAGTACACCTGTCAAAGAAGTTGTTGGCTCACCCATTCAGTGAAGGAGGCCTTTTGAGCAGACTGCCAGTTATCCGGTCCGTTTATCTCAGGTACTTCTTCTTCTTTTACCTTTAGAGCTGAAATCGAGCATTTGGTGGGGTGAGAAAATGATGTTGTGCAGTCGGAATACAATTTCGAATTTCAAAGGATGTTTAAGAATTTGTTGCATCAGTTCCTCTGCATTTTCAATACCTTGATAGTTTCGAGCGACATCAAACTTACCAAGTTGCCAGCAGGAGATGTTGGTCTCAACTCTCGGGTTGCAACACGGATATATTTTTTTGTTTTTTTACAAAAGTACAAAAATAACGTGACATAGGTAGGCTTCTAAGTTCTATTTCTATTAAGATCAATGCGCATTAGCGCATACGACGATGAACAAATATCTAGTATTTAATTATAGTCTGATCATCCTTTAAAAAGTCTTTGCCGTCTCTCAAAAGAAAAATTGTCTATCTGAGAGCGGCAGGACGGGTAGAATCTACTGTTCAACATCTGTTTATGACATGTTTTAGATCTGAGAGCTGTGGTTATCTGTTACTTGTGGCGCGACTTTCATCTTCACCAACATCTCCTCTCTGAAAGCTTTCATCCAGGCAATACAAAGAGTGTTGATCACGGACTGAGTCAGAGGAAATCCGTAGGTTGAGGAGAAAACAAAGAAATCGTGCCCTACAGAGAACGGGGGATTTTCCAGTTTGGATCTTGCGGATAGCACTAGGATGTACGCAACCAGGACAGCCATGACGACTATATTCCACAGATTCATCAGAAGGGTGCAGAGCAGGAACTCTCGGTCAGGAAATTCCCGTTTCTTGACTAATCTCAGGGTTGTCAAGACACCGGAGATCACACCGAGAATAAGGAATATCACCAGGACGGCCAGCTTACATTTATTTTGCGGCCCGTAGACGTTATCCTTAAACTCCTCATACGGTGTTATGATTTCCTGCGTGATTCTAAACTTCGCGAGAAGTGCTTTGTCGAGATCGAACACAAAGATGTGTACGGAGGACATGACCAGGACGAAGAGAACCACAACGTAGGATGCAATGTAGAGGAAGGAAGGAGGTAAGGAGGAGTATTTGACGGTAACGTATCTAACAATACTCATTAGAACTATCACAAACACTTCAATACTCGTGACAGCTAGCAAGACTGTGTTTACATGAGCAAGCCAACCCATATCTCCACTCTTTAGGTACAGGTCCATCTGGTGTGATGGTGCTAGCAGTTTAGGGATCAACACCAGAGGAAAGTAGACCAGCTTGATGTGATCCAGCAGGGAGACCAGGCAGAAGATGCTGTTGGAGGGGTTGGTACTTTGTCTGAAGCTGAAGAGAGAGGTGAGGGGGCTGACCAGGACCCCGATGAGGAAGTAGAGTATGAAGAGTATGGCGAAGAAATAGTTGAGGGCTGTGTCTGTTGGGGTGACGGGACGGATCTCAACTGGGTCCAGGACACCACTAAACATGATGCTTGCGTTGCCAAATATTGCCATGTCAGCTGATTTGAGTGCTGTTGGGAGGAGGAATATGAGAAAAAGTAAAACTTATTGGTCCGGTTAAAACATATTGAACAAAAAGTACAGGGTGGGCCAAAAGTCAGTACCCATACGTTGGCCTTAATAGCTCCGCCGTGTTTTATATTTGAGAGCTGTTGCTTTGCAGATGGCATACTGTACTTACTGGTTCGAGGATTCCGTCGTCAAAATTTGAAAATTCGAATATTTTAGACCACGCCCATTCAATATTAAAACACCTATATTGTTTTCTCTGAACATGCTGAACGCCTAATTTTTTCAGAGACGGTAGATTATTAAATGTTGCATATGATCTGAAAACATGAGGCAAAACGGATTAGAAATGACGAAGTTATCAAGCATTTTCTGTATCTCGTTAACAATATTGACTGGGTGATTATGTGACACCGTGACACGACACCTTAATTGGGCACCCTTAACAATTCCCATAATGTTTAACGGGGTAGTTAACGGGGGCACCTTATCACGTGATTCGGTAAACCAATCACCTGATCACACGTAATGAATAAACTCGTTATGCTTCATATCTCGGTCATCTGAGAAGCTACAGTTCTAATTCTTTCAGGACAAACGTAATTCGAATGGCCAAACACAATTCAATAACATTTAGCTTGATCCGACTATCCAAACTATCAAATGAATGTGAAAATGAACCTCCATTTGAAAAAAATGAACGCGAATATTTTTCGAGTTGACAAATTCCTCGAACCAGTGGTGGTACTAAGTCATACCAGAAAGAAGTATTTAAATTGGGCACTCAGTGACTGAGCTATAAAGGCCAACGTATGGGTACTGACTTTTGGCCCACCCTGTATGTTCACGCTTATATCCTAACTCTCCCGATATGAGAAATACAATGCAATAATTTCCAGTGACAGTCGCACGACTCAACATTCTTTAAAAAACGTATATTTGTCTATCTTTAACGTTGGAACCTAAAGTAGCAGAATCTCTCTCGGGTAAATTAACAGTGACAAATTTCGCTGGTCGGTACGTGTCAGCAACACATGCAAAACAATGAAGAAAATAAGATAGGTTGATTCTTAGTTTGAAGTGCATCAAATTAATGTGATATTTAAATTAATTAGATCAACTTTAGTGAATAATAGCAACTTTTCCTGACATAACCCAACTCATGTTGAATAACCTACCGACCTACGATCAAAAGAAAAGGTTACAGATTACGATGTAACTCCTTGGCGTTGCAATTAGCTTCAATCAATAAACCATTTAGTGACAATGAATGAAAGGGCCAACACAAAATCACACAAACTAAAATCGACCACAAAGAATAGAAAGTGAGGTCATAACGATGAGACAATAAAATCCACCTCGATTTGGATACTGATCGGCTCATGAATATCATAATACCATTTTATTGTATGCTCTTTTATATAGTATAGCTGAATCCACCTATACTCTATAGTATGTTAAAGAACATACAATGTATTACTAAGCTTAATCTACATTAAACCCAACTCAGCTAAAGCCACAGCAATATACTAAATGACAGGTGCTGGGGCTGTATTCAATAGTTCAATGACAAACGGACAAACAGGACAACATACGTCAGGAGCGCAGGTGGTGTCCAGGTAAATATATACGGGTGATTTCGAGCTAGGCTCATGGTAATGAGCACCAATACGAGTCAGTCCTTGTCATCCTGACAATTACAGGAACAAATGAGTAATGACTATTGATGGGGCAGTATACTTTAATATAGTACCCAGGCAGCTGAGTAGTGAGAGCCAGACCACATTTAGTAGGCCAGACCTTTAACAGACCTCTTTCCTTAACCCTTACAAGTGTGCTAAATCAAGATACTTAATGTATAGTCTCACTCCCGACTACTATACTAGTACTATATAATATAGCAGTGCTGACTGCAGTAGTAGTCGGCCTAAGAAATAGAGCAAAAGTTAACAGCATTAAAACCTCCATCTACTCGTTTTTCAGGGGGTTTGCAGAAATGGTGGATGATGAAACACCACTGACGAAACCGAAAGCAAATCTAATATACTTACTGCAAGACTAACTACTAGATACGTAAACACTTGCTGTATCAAATTGCCTTAATCACCTGTGTTCAAGAATAGTTTGAGGCCGTTTAGCTCTAAGACATTCTAAATCATCACAACCCTACCACAAGCTTACGTGAAATTCTCACAGCTCACTTGTGGAATGTGAGGGCAAACAAGGCTCAACCACTTAAATAACCGCAAAACGTGGTGACTTTCCTGTTTAATGGAGGCATTATCTGCTTTGGCGGAGTATGGGTAACATTATCATTATGTATCATCACCATGGCAACGGTCGGGTAAACAATACGCAGAGCAATGAGATTTGCTGAATATTTATAGTGGGTGTTTAAGAGATGGAGCAGGTGGTTAAACTTTCTTAAATCGTGCCCAGTAACCCTCCAGTCGTCAGTATTATAGGGCAGCTCATTTGTTTTCAAAATCATTTAACTGTGTATTATCATGTAGGTAACCTTCGTGGATTATGAAGGACAACAGTAAGATTATCAAAATTATGTATGAAGCATTTTATTTGAAACGAAGATTAGTCCTTTAAAGAAAGAGTTTCCTTTTTACTAACCGTTTAAATCATCGGGAAAATGAAATAATATCAAATAATATCATCGAAATGGCAATGAACTGAGTATACCATTACCGAGATTTCTTTGAAAAATTGAGATCTTTAAGGATAATTTTGTCTCAAATTATTACCTGGAAGTCTTTTGTCTCTAGTATTCCATTGATGATTTTGAATGAGTTTACGAACCGTTGCCATCTAAATTGTATATCCATCAATAAGTTGATAGAAATATCAAATAATACAGAAGGTTTGGCACGATGTTATGTAAAACTAAAGGAATCATTACACAGTACACCGTTGCACATGTTGTAAGCTACAAAATAGCATAGTTAGTAAGTAGGTAATTTGTAAAACATAAAATAACAAATGATATGAGGTATATCCTACACCAGCAGGCACCCGCATCTTTAAAATGATGAAAACAATCCGTACAATCAAGCAAGTAGAAGCCATTTGTCAATTTCGGTTAAAACTCCGTTTCAGATAATAACTTCTTGATACTCAATCAAGTTGAATTATTAGAATGATAGATAATTTATAAAATATGGTTTAAATTGAAAGATGCAGTAACTGTATGGTATTGATAAAACAAGGTCTTCATCTTATCTGTTGTTCTAAGAATAATATTAAAACGTCGGCTGCACGACTTAAAGGGCCCCCTATTATTAGGGGTCTCACGGTGATCAGATCATGTTACCAATTAGTGACGTATAATTAGTGATGTGATCCATCAGTAGAATTTAATTGACCTAGAAATGGGCTAGATATAGGATAGAGTTCACATGTCAACTCTGTACATCATAGTAATGACCTGCTGCTTTTTAACATACTCTTGAACAGAGGGCTTTAATCAATAAATCGGCCGGTGGTTTAATTGATGGTTTTGTACTGCAAATGTGATATTAAAGTGACTCACTTTTTTTCCCTCTCTCACACGCTCTCTCACTCTCTCTCTTGACAGATGTTCAAATTTATGCTTAATAAATCCGGTTTTTGCTTACGAATTCGTTTATTTTTATTTCAAAATAATAATTTATTTTTCCTTTACAAAACCAGCCCATAGTTAAGTTCATTATAGTTATACTTTGCCGTATATCTTCCAGAATATATATTTAATACCTAAGATCTAGGTCGCGTATTTACATCTGATCGGTTCATGTACTCCCCTTGCATGCCTTCGACACGCAAGTCTCACGTCCCTTGATACGAGAACCACCCCCATTAGCAGGAGCTCCCGTCCCTTATGTGATCTACGAGTCGAGTAGACAAATCTTAAAGATCATGTTTACTTCTAATGTATAGCTATGATGTACAGAGTTGACATGTGAACTCTATCCTACATCTAGCCCATTTCTAGGTCAATTAAATTCTACTGACGGATCACATCGCTAATTATACGTCACTAATTGGTGACATGATCTGATCACCGTGGGACCCCTAATAATAGGGGACCCTTTAAGTCGGCCTCCCGCAATGTCGGTTATCACAATGTATCGAAAAGTGGTTCCATAGTTCTAAAAAAGCAAAAAATCCTCAATCTTACTGTTTGAAAACGTCCAGGTCTAGGTTCCGGCCGGGATTTTGATTTAATCCCAGTCCCGGTCCCGGCCGGGATGAGGCGTCTGCAGGCTTATCCCGGCCGGGATGATATTTGTGTCCCGGTAGACCTCTGGAGTATACAGTCACAAACATACAGACAAACAAATATCACTGACCTCCTTTTCTGAGCAGCTCGCTTCCTCTTCTACTTTGTTGTTCTGATGGTTGGATCTCCTCCTCTTCCTCATCTGACTCTTCTGTGGAGAAGAGAACTTTTAGATCGGCTATTTCGTGATATTCATCGGGTCAAAATAAAATGGGTTTACATGATAAGATGCTGTATTTTTTATGACGTAAGACAGTGTTTGTAGCACTGATAGTGATAATGTGCACGGTTTTCTCTTTTGCATATTATATTACCAAATTACTAATTAGGCCCAGGCTAGAAATAAACTCTCCCTGATGCCGCACTTTTAAAATGTGGTTACCATGGTAATCGAGATAATGCGCCTTCTAAATTAAAATATACGATGAATGATTAAATAATTGTGGAAATAATTAATTCTAATTACAGCCGTTGAACACTCTCTAGATAAGTAGATAAGAGTCTAGAACGTCTAGTTACGTTGTTTCTTACCAGCATTGTCCAGTCCGATTAGTCTACAGGAAGTTCTAATGTACTTGTTGTACTTTATGTTGCTTGAACAGGTAATATAAAGTGTCAGGAATTACAATTTTATCACAATGTCGTAATCGGACCCGTTGTACTTGTAACGTCATAACATAAAACTACCCGGCTGAGCTTGAGGAAATCTGCACTTGAACAATAGAGGTTAGCTTATACGAGAGTGGAAGTCGAAGATTTTCTGTACCCTGCACGCCATTGCAACTACGCGTCGCTCTTTCTACTTTTTGCATATCCTTGAGAGAATCGAGCAATATAGATTAGCAAGCTAAGTAAGGATCATTGTTCTGTGCACAACTGTTTAATGAAAACAATTAAGGCACGTATTATACTACTTGGCATCTTATCAAGCGCATGGGATTGTTATATGAAGGAAAGTGAGCGATTTTAGGGATGATGATTGATGATCAACCATGCTCTACAATCGACCATCACGTGACTTACTTAAACACGTTATCTATATGGGCCTGGGGACAGAGGGACTATTCATAGCCCTAGCCCTATACTCTGACCCCAACCCTAACCCAATCCTTAACTGAAGCATCTGCTAAAACCCTAACCCTAAATTAGACCAACTTTGAACTTCCTTATATGATCATGTCACGTGATCGAAGCAGTTTTTCGCTAATAACTTGCAAGGGGAGCATTTTAATTTTATGTCATGTGGGGTGATTCGGAATCAGCGTTTAAAAATACATCGTTCTCTAATGGTTTCGACTGGGAGATCCCTTTTACTTTTAGAAAAATCTCGAAGTTCCAGTGTAAATGAACGTATCAGAACAGTTACTGTCCTTAATCGGATTGTGTTGTGATGATGAAATTTACTTTGTTGATTAACCTTTTTGTGCCACTGAGCGATTGTATTCGTTTTGATGTGTCATGGACTTGCTGGGGGATTAGTATCTTTTGATTTTTCAATTCTTTGGGGCTTGGAAATTAGAATGACATAAGTCAAAAACTGAAAAATATTTTTCTGTCGTTATATGTCAAAAGGTTCGGCGTTATAACCCGGGACTGGCCCCTTAAATGTATGTAACAATATTTGATGCAGGGTTGCTGGCATTCCTTTTATTATTTTTCCCTTGGGTCACACCAGTTACTGCTCATCGTCCGTTCATAGCCAGTGTTAATTTTAGTTATTAATCCATTTAATTTATTGGTTTGCACACTGTATCTCGACATACGCTGTATATCGTCACGCATGTTATATCGCCATGTAGTAGAATGTCTTACGGGTATTTTTTGCCCGATACACTAGGGACCCCAGATACTCCTTATTTTTAACCGTAGAATTCATTAAAAGTAGTCCTGAGATGATTAGACTGAGTTTACCCGGTTAAAACCCAATTTTCGGTTCAAAAATAGGCTAAGAAGCCATTTAAACATTTTTTTGACCAAGTTAATTTCGTTGGCATATCAGCAAAATTTGCATAAAAGTGTATTAGAACTAACTGCAGGATTTCCCCGGTAAAAAATCTAATCGAATGGAGATATAGGGTTGTCGAGATACAGTGTATGTCTATATTCAGTGTGATTACCAATTTATTGACTCTATTCTATTCATTTACGTATTATTATATCAAGAATTTATTACTATATCAAGAGTTTACTGTGTTTATCATTCAGGGTTTCTTACATGGTCATCTATCATATAATCTAGAATTCATAAGATGGTTAGCTATTCATGGTTGACTACTAAAAGAGTAGAGTTTGAATTGTTTGATCCTGTACAGCATATTGAAAGTTGCTATTTATGATGATGTCCATGACCAACTTGCTTCATCTCAGTCACCGAGTGAAAGGGTGGAGTCTGATTACCGCAATACTTAAAATCATATTATCTCGTTAAAAGATTAGATTCGTGTTTGACAGAGGAAATTGAAGTATTATTGTAAAAGTGATATCTGATATTATCTTTAAGACTTTCAATTGTCTATCATAAGTATATCAAATATATGGGGCAAGGAATTCATATATATATGAATTCCTTGCCCCATATATTTGATATACTTACATAACATAATTATGCTGCGGTACTACCTTGCAGAATTCATTTATTTACAGCTCAACTTAATCTTGTAAGCAGACAACAAGAAGACACGGGTTTTTCATATAATCGAGCGGTTCTATTGATGTTCATCTTATCGTGAACCCGTGGACGCTGGGTTCGATATATAACATATTTAGTATTTACGCTGTAGAAAACGTGATTTTATTTATTTTTATCTCAATTACTTAATCTTGTTAGCAGATCGGGAAGACACGAGTTTTTCATTTATCGAGCGGTTCTATTAATATTCATCTTCGTGAACGCTGGATTCGATTCACAAAAAAACCCAATCGATGAGTTTCATGAAGACTGCATGGATTGCCGTTTTAAGATTACCCAGAGTTCATGCCTTGAGATATATGAACGATATTTGCAAGAAAGGAATCTGTTTCCTCCCTTTTTTGTTACATCTGCATTTTAATTAATTTAATCAAAATTTGTCATACACCTTCAATAAATTTTAGCTACATCAACGTTTCAGAAAGAATAAGGTATCATGATAAAATGTTTGGTGCTGTTACTCTTCCAAATAGCAGTACTGCTTTCACCTCTAAGTTCCGGAAACAAATACACAGTTGATGGAGCATACGAATATTCGATACCATACGACTACTCGATCGGAGAATATTACGGAATAAGCGCACCTAAATGTGGAAAAGAAATCAAACAACTGGACGTATTAAAAGTGAAGAAGCCAAACCAGATCCGTATTTCATACACAGGGGATCCCACAGAGATGGCTATAACCTGGACAACCAACTCTGTGAACCACTTCAATGTGGTGAACTACGGGATAATGGAAGCAGACCTGAACTACACATCCACTTCCATCTCTCATCAGTTTAAATGGCATTGGGACGAGGAAGAGGCTAAATGGATCTACATCAGTGGCTTCATACACGAGTGTTTGATGGTTAACTTGATGCCCGGCAGGATTCACTTTTACCAGGTTTGTGTTGACTATTATATAAGGGACCATAATTAGAAGGGAACCATAACTAATTAGGAACTATAACTAAATGGGCCAGACCATGGAGAATTTGTACAATCATTAATTAATAAGTAACATTTACAGTTACTCAGTATTCTACACCGTTTGTAATCAATACGTATTTCTACAGATATCAAGTAACGGTGAATCGTCTCAAATCCTGAAGTTTGTAGCCGCCCCTGAACCTGGGTCACGAGCTCCATTATCATTTCTACACACCGGGGATGTAGGAACATTCGGGACCTCCGTCATGATCACCAAGAACATGATGAACAGACAGGAGAAGAAACAGTATCACGGAATCCTGCACTGTGGGGATGTTTCATATGCTAACAAGTTTAACAAGACAAGACCAAGGAGAGCTGCCCAGCATGTCTGGGACACTTGGGGCCAGATGGCGGAACCTATTGCCAGCAAGATGGCTTACATGGTTTCTCCGGGGAACCACGAAGTAGACGAGTTTGAGAGTGCGTTTGAAAATGGGACGATATATTCTAAGAGGTTCATCATGCCAGGCAATGAACATTACTTCTCGTTTGGAGTTGGGATGGTTCACTTTGTGTCAGTTTCCACAGACGAAAACATCGACCCGAGTTCAACGCAAGGAGTCTGGCTGGACAGAACTCTGGCTAAGATCAACAAACAAAGGAATCTTTGGCCATGGGTTGTGGTGTTCCAACACAGACCGATCTACAACTCAAACAAGAACCATGGTAATTGGAGCGGCTCTAATAATTACACTTACGATGGATATGATTGGGAGCTGCCCACATATGAGGGATGGCCTGATGATTACGAAGCTCTAATTTTAAAACACAAAGTAGATCTGGTTCTTACAGGACACGTGCATCACTACGAACGAACCTGGCCTGTGAAAAACCGAGATGAGGTCACCAAATCTTACGAAAACGTGACGTCACCAGTCCACATTACATGCGGACACGGAGGAAAGGGTCTTTATGCGGTTGTGTGGGATTCTAACGGCCGGAATACGTACGGACCACACCAACCAGCGTTTTCAGCAGCAAGGGACAACATGAACTGGGGGCACTGTGAGTTGGACTTTATAGATGAAAGGACAGTGAGACATACTATGTTTAGGATGGGTGAGAGTGAGGTTCCAACCGAGGATGTTCTTATAACCAAAGCTGCTGGGGGAGGTGGTGCAGCGAAGGTGGGATTCAGTTTGGGATTATTGATTGGGTGCTTTATATTCTGGAGTTGAAGAAACTTGGTTGGGTTTTACCCACCAAATTGATATTTTAAATTTAATCTTTCTTCGTCAGTTTAGTTGCATTTTATGCAACAAAGTTTTAAGTTTCGAATGAATCGTGACCCCCTTGTTTATTTTATACCGTCTCGTGACTCTTGAATTTTAGTTTGATGTATGTAAACTGTAAGTGTTTATAATTTCTGATATTCGAGCTTTTCATTTAAAAAACAATTCCTTCGTATTATTGAGCCAGGGTGTGGACTGGCTGCACCTGGTTAAAACATTTCCGGATTTCCATTCCATTACGTCATAATGATACTGAAATATAATAAAATTATAGTAAAATATGTAATATAATATTGTTATTCTGTATAATTATAAATCTGACACATTTTTTTGAATGGTTGAGCTGCGTCGCAGTTGTAGCGTTTTACTTTTCATATGGAATTGGACGATATTCACAAGAAAGGAATCTTTTTCCTTACTTTTTGTTACATCTCAATTTAATTACTGTAATCAAATTTTTGAAACACCTTTAATAATTTTCGGTGAATTGTGATTGAACATTTCACAAGGAATAACACATAATGATAAAATGTTTGGTGCTGTTACTCTTCCAAATAGCAGTACTGCTTTCACCTCTAAGTTCCGGAAACGAATACACAGTTGATGGGGCATACGAATATTCGATACCATATGACTACTCGATCGGAGACTATTACGGAGTAAGCGCACCTGATTGTGGAAAAGATATCAAACAACTGGACGTATTAAAAGTGAAGAAGCCAAACCAGATCCGCCTCTCGTACACAGGGGATCCCACAGAGATGGCTATAACCTGGACAACCAACTCTGTGAACCACCTCAATGTGGTGAACTACGGGCTAATGGAAGCTGACCTGAACTACACATCCACTTCCATCTCTCATCAGTTTAAATGGCATTGGGACGAGGAAGAGGCTAAATGGGTCTACATCAGTGGCTTCATACACGAGTGTTTGATGGTTAACTTGATGCCCGGTAGGATTCACTTTTACCAGGTTTGCGTTGATTTTATTTTTAAGGGACCATAATTAGAAGGGAACCCTAACTAATAAGGATTTATAACTAAGTGACCAGCATCAAGTGGACAATTTGTACAATCTTTAATTAATAATTATATAATAATTATTAATATAATAATTACCATTAACTTTAACAGTTATTTTAAACTGTTTGTACTTTGTAATCAATATTATGTACCTCTACAGATACTAAGTAACGGTGAATCGTCTCAAATCCTGAAGTTTGTAGCCGCCCCTGAACCTGGATCACGAGCTCCATTATCATTTCTACACACCGGGGATGTAGGAACATTCGGGACCTCCGTCATGATCACCAAGAACATGATGAACAGACAGGAGAAGAAACAGTATCACGGGATCCTACACTGTGGGGATGTTTCATATGCTAACAAGTTTAACAAGACAAGACCAAGGAGAGCTGCCCAGCATGTCTGACACACTTGGGGCCAGATGGCGGAACCTATTGCCAGCAAAATGGCTTACATGGTTTCTCCGGGGAACCACGAAGTAGATGTGTATGATAGTACGTTAGAAAACGGGACGATATATTCTAAGAGGTTCATCATGCCAGGCAATGAACATTACTTCTCGTTTGGAGTTGGGATGGTTCACTTTGTGTCAGTTTCCACAGACGAAGACATCGACCCGAGTTCAACGCAAGGAGTCTGGCTGGACAGAACTCTGGCTAAGATCAACAAACAAAGGAATCTTTGGCCATGGGTTGTGGTGTTCCAACACAGACCGATCTACAACTCAAACACGAACCATGGTAATTGGAGCGGATCCAATAATCACACTAAAGAAGGTTATGAGAATCCCTCATACGGGGGATGGCCTGATGATTACGAAGCTCTAATTCTAAAACACAAAGTAGATCTGGTTCTTACAGGACACGTGCATCACTACGAACGATCCTGGCCTGTGAAAAACCGAGACGAGGTCACCAAATCCTACGAAAACGTGACGTCACCAGTCCACATTACATGCGGACACGGAGGAAAGGGTCTTTATGCGGTTGTGTGGGACTCTGACGGCCGAAACACTTACAGACCACACCAACCAGCGTTTTCAGCAGCAAGGGACAACATGAACTGGGGGCACTGTGAGTTGGAGTTTATAGATGAAAGAACAGTGAGACACACTATGTTTAGGATGGGTGAGAGTGAGGTTCCAACCGAGGATGTTCTTATAACCAAAGCTGCTGGGGGAGGTGGTGCAGCGAAGGTGGGTTTCAGTTTGGGATTATTGATTGGATGCTTTATATTCTGGAGTTGATTTGATTTGAAACTTTCATCAAATAATACAGAATAATACAACAAGGGAGCTTGAATAAAATCAATGTCGACAAAGAATGTTCGGGAATCAAGCTGAGGAATGCTCGGACTGGTTAGGACAGGCACAAGTAAGCAGAATTTGACTGTACCATATGATTAAGGAATTAAGGAAACCAGTAACATCCATGTTAGAACACGTCATGTGCTATGGACTCTTACTCAAACTCACATGAAACTATGAATGGTTTAAGGTCTTTGCCACAAAATTTATATTTTAAATTCAATTGTCAGGTTAATTGTATTTTATGCAACAGAATTTTAAGTTTCGAATGATCAATTTATTTTTAAATTATCAAGCTTACCAAGCTTGTTAACAAATAGCGATGCTAGAGGCAAAGCTTGGTGAGCGGCAAATCCTGACCTCCTTGTAACCTTGTATGTTGTATACCGACGGGCACCATCGGTTTTGGCAGTTTGTGAGGTTGCATCTTATATTTTTTTAAGAAAAGAAAAAAAAATTTAATTTTTCTGTTTATGTTCTACTAAAATATTTTAATTACGGAATTATTTTTTTTATTTAATTACGGAATGTTTTGGGAAACAAAAATATTATTATTAGTTTTGATGTGTGTTTTTATTCGTATGCTTTTTAGAATATTTATCTCAATTTTTAAATATAACCCGACAAAACAACAACATTAAAAAAAAAAAAAAAAAACAGTCCACTGACCAGAATCAACGTCAACATCATGTTTATTTTATAGCGTCTCTTGACTATTGTCAATTTTAGTTTTGATGTGTGTAAACTGTAAGTGTTTATAATTTGTAATATTCGAGCTTTTCATTTAAAATACAATTCTTTCGTATTATTGAGCCAGGGTGTGGACTGGCTGCACCTGGTTAAAACATTTCCATTCCATTACATAATGATACTGAAATATAATTAAGTTACTATATATAGTAACAATATCATATTTCATATTTTACCTTATATATAAGGTAAAATATGAAATATGATATTGTTATTCTGTATAAAATTAAATCTTACATATTATTTTCTATGGTTGAGCTGCGTCGCTGTTGTAGCGTTTTACTTTTCATATGGAATTGGACGATATTCACAAGAAAGGAATCTTTTTCCTTACTTTTTGTTACATCTCAATTTAATTACTGTAATCAAATTTTTGAAACACCTTTAATAATTTTCGGTGAATTGTGAATGAACATTTCACAAGGAATAACACATCATGATAAAATGTTTGGTGCTGTTACTCTTCCAAATAGCAGTACTGCTTTCACCTCTAAGTTCCGGAAACGAATACACAGTTGATGGGGCATACGAATATTCGATACCATACGACTACTCGATCGGAGACTATTACGGAGTAAGCGCACCTGATTGTGGAAAAGAAATCAAACAACTGGACGTATTAAAAGTGAAGAAGCCAAACCAGATCCGTATTTCATACACAGGGGATCCCACAGAGATGGCTATAACTTGGACAACCAACTCTGTGAACCACTTCAATGTGGTGAACTACGGGATAATGGAAGCTGACCTGAACTACACATCCACTTCCATCTCTCATCAGTATAAATGGCATTGGGACGAGGAAGAGGCTAAATGGGTCTACATCAGTGGCTTCATACACGAGTGTTTGATGGTTAACTTGATGCCCGGCAGGATTCACTTTTACCAGGTTTGCGATGATTTTAAGGGACCATAATTAGAAGGGAACCATAACTAATAAGGAATTATAACTAAGTGACCAGCATCAAGTGGACAATTTGTACAATCTTTAATTAATAATTACCATTAACTTTAACAGTTATTTTAAACTGTTTGTACTTTGTAATCAATATTATGTACCTCTACAGATACTAAGTAACGGTGAATCGTCTCAAATCCTGAAGTTTGTAGCCGCCCCTGAACCTGGATCACGAGCTCCATTATCATTTCTACACACCGGGGATGTAGGAACATTCGGGACCTCCGTCATGATCACCAAGAACATGATGAACAGACAGGAGAAGAAACACTACCACGGGATCCTACACTGTGGGGATGTTTCATATGCTAACAAGTTTAACAAGACAAGACCAAAGTGGGCCGCTCAGCATGTCTGGGACACTTGGGGCCAGATGGCGGAACCTATTGCCAGCAAGATGGCTTACATGCTTTCTCCGGGGAACCACGAAGTAGATGTGTATGATAGTACGTTAGAAAACGGGACGATATATTCTAAAAGGTTCATCATGCCTGGCAATGAACATTACTACTCGTTTGGAGTTGGGATGGTTCACTTTGTGTCAGTTTCCACAGACGAAGACATCGACCCGAGTTCAACGCAAGGAGTCTGGCTGGACAGAACTCTGGCTAAGATCAACAAACAAAGGAATCTTTGGCCATGGGTTGTGGTGTTCCAACATAGACCGATCTACAACTCTAACATAAACCATGGTAATTGGAGCGGATCCAATAATTACACTCAAGAAGGTTATGAGATGCCCGCATACAAGGGATGGCCTGATGATTACGAAGCTCTAATTCTAAAACACAAAGTAGATCTGGTTCTTGCAGGACACGTACATCACTACGAACGATCCTGGCCTGTGAAAAACCGAGACTGAGGTCACCAAATCCTACGAAAACGTGACGTTACCAATCCACATTACATGCGGACATGGAGGAAAGAGCCTTTATGCGGTTGTGTGGGACTCTGACGGCCGAAACACTTACAGACCACACCAACCAGCGTTTTCAGCAGCAAGGGACAACATGAACTGGGGGCACTGTGAGTTGGAGTTTATAGATGAAAGGACAGTGAGACACACTATGTTTAGGATGGGTGAGAGTGAGGTTCCAACCGAGGATGTTCTTATAACCAAAGCTGCTGGGGGAGGTGGTGCAGCGAAGGTGGGTTTCAGTTTGGGATTATTGATGGGGTGCTTTATATTCTGGAGTCGATTTGATTTGATTTGAAACTTTCATCAAATAATACAGAATAATACAACAAGGGAACTTGAATAAAATCAATGGCGACAAGGAATGTTCGGGAATCAGGCTGAGGAATGCTCGGACTGGTTAGGACAGGCACAAGTAAGCAGAATTTGACTGTACCATATGATTAGGGAAACCAGTAACATCCATGTTAGAACACATGTGCTATGGACTCTTACTCTAATCCACATGAAACTATGAATGGTTTAAGGTCTTACCCACCAAATTTATATTTTAAATTCAAGTGTCAGGTTAATTGTATTTTATGCAACAGAATTTTAAGTTTCGAATGATCAATTTATCTTTAAATTACCAAGCTTACCAAGCTTGTTAACAAATAGCGATGCTAGAGACAAAGCTTGGTGAGCGGCAAATCCTGACCTCCTTGTAACCTTGTATGTTGTATACCGACGGGCACCATCGGTTTTGGCAGTTTGTGATGTTGCAATTTGCATATTATATTCTTAAAAGAAAAAAAAGAAAAAATTTTTAATTATACGGAATGTTTTGTGAAACAAAAATATTACTATTACTATTAGTTTTGATGTGTGTTTTTATTCGTATGCTTTTTAGAATATCAGTCTTTAAATATAACGGATAACCGGTCCGACAAAAAAAACAACATTAAAAAGAACATGAAAGACAAACAGTCCACTGACCAGAATCAACGTCAACATCATGACAAGTGTTGGCTGGTGTCTCAGCGCACAAAGAGGGTATCCGGACTCCTTCGAACAACTTGCTCTTCGACTTCACTGTGGGGGCAGATTAATAAGCGTTATAACAAACAACCTTCAGATTCTTCTGTGCAGCTTCAGAAAAAAACGTCCAGCCATTTCAAAATTTAAGATCGTACTGGACAACTTTATCCAAACTTAAATTTAACGTATCCCGAAACTGATTAATCAATCATCACTATTATATTACGTACCGGATGTTTTAAGCGTATATGAGTCGTCTAAAGGGATCTTAACGTTCAGAATCTTCGCCACCTCTCGCTTTTCAAGGGTTCCACTTCGGTCTTCATCGTACCTAAAGAACCAAATATCATCATTTTCATCAAGTCATTCATTGAAGTTCCGATCCCTTCAGAAATGGGACCTCACAGACATGTCAACGTCATGACGTCATTTGTCTAAAGCACAGTACATTTTACAGAGTATGACATCAAGCTCTAGCAGCTAGTGCCAGGATCTGCTGCTCTTTGTGAGCGTATTTTTCATGCTAATGATGTGGGGGACACTGTCCAGTGTCCACCCCTCGCGCCGCGCGCTTCATGTTTCCCTCGGAGGATATGCTAATCACCGTCACGAGAATATTGTTCATTCAGTTGTAGATGAGACCACGAATATTAATGGCACACAGAACACAGGTTACTTGTAGTTGTACCACTCATCTTCTCAACGATTAGCATATATTTCAATATTTATTAGACATTCTGGCCATATAACCAGGTAACACGTACGTCTAGATCAACTGTCTAGTGCAAATTGATGATATATAAATAGCTGTACTGCCTGGATCATAAATACACAGGAGTATATAATTATATAGAGGCTGCAGAGAGCCGCGATGCATTATGCAAATCTGAGATCCTATCAATCATCGATGGAATAATATTAACAAGCGCAACAGGACTGGGGACAACATTTGCAATCTACATCAGATATTCATATAATTGAACTTATAACATGACTTCAAAAATGTGGAGCATTACTTTTGAATAAGTTTGGCCACATCCTGAGAATACTTGAGCATTTCCTTTTCACTTAGCCCCTCCTTTGCAGACTTTTTAGTTTTCTCAATCCTCAACAGCAAGTCCTTCATGAATTTGTTCATCTCAGAGTACTGTAGCTTACCGTTCTTATCAATGTCGTACTGAGCAAACACCTAGCGGGAGGGTTTCAGTGAAATTTACGAACATGAGTCAAACAACCTGCAACCATGAACAATAATCTAGCGCCAAGAATGCTGAATGAAAGTCGAGTTTTAAAATTGCTGCAGCATCACTACAATAGATATATCGTGAGTGATCCTATTCCTACTTGGGGAAAATTATAAAGCGGGGTTAACTCACTTCTTCAAACTCATCATAAGACAGTGATTTCCTCTTTTTCCTAGCATCCCTTATTTTCTTCTTGACTTGGGCCTTGTCGGTCAAGTCAGGGGTCTCTTTCCCCATACTGATACCTTCTCAGAACCAATCCCGCTATAATACTACGAGACTGGTTTAGTGGTTTACGATACAATTATATTCCTCCTTCCGTTGTACTACTACTACTACTAGGTTCATAACCTACCAAGACGCGCGCCGATTTGGACTCGTCGACGGTCTCTCCTTGCAGAAACAAATATTTTACGAGTATCACCCGTTAATCCTTCCGAACACCTTGGTTTTTAAGGGTCGTTCACACTTCACATATCAATTTTTGGCCAATTTTTAACCCCCCCCCCCCCCTCCCCCTCCGTAATCAGTTTTACACATGGCTATTGTGTCAAAATTACACTGGCGTAATCATTCGGAAACCCCCCCTCCCCCCTCGGCTGGTTACGTAATACTTTAATATGTGAACGACCCCTAACAAAACAAAACTAAAGTCTTAGCAGTAGCATCTACGATTCTACACATACAACAACAAAATTGTGAACGACACCAACACCAAGATGAAGAAACAATAATGAAGCGTCTACTGTCTAGCTGTTGGAGCTACATGCCATACTATGTAACAACAGGAAGCTCGGGGCCTGATAAATTAGCATGTGGGCTGTGCGCGCACATAGAGCCATTACGAACAAGAGCACACACGTGCACGATATAGAGTGTGGAGGAATTGTATTTAGGTGTAGGAGCTAGGCCTAGAGAGAGAGAGAGAGAGCGAGGTAGAGAGAGAGAGAGAGGGGTAGAGAGAGAGGTAGGGAGAGGGGTGCGAGAGTTAAAGTGAGTGTAAGAACGGAGGGAGAGAGAGAAAGTAAGAGTAGTAATTATTACACCGGCGAGGATATATCTCACTATTATACTGAACTTTAAGTGATTTATAGCACTGTTAACACAGTCGTTAGTGGTCAGAAACAACAAAATCGTCCTCTACTTCAGAACCAAAAAAAAAAGTTAATTTTTTAAATACTTTATCACAATGTGTCTAAGATGAATGATGCATATACGCAGCTTCTCTGCACAATGCAGTCCCATCTATGATTCATAAGTCCAGTCCTTAGTGACGGCTAAATGGCTGTGAGAGGAAAGTATCATAATTATACAGCTTCTTTGGCAACCTGGACGAGTTCGCATGTGGGAACAATTACAATCATACACACATACGTGAACACAATGCTAGACAAACCCATTTGAGGATTGAGAATTCTCACGTATGTTCATTCTTGATCAAATTCTTCTAACCATTTTGAACGCTATACCCATGTCATACAAAATGGGTTGGCGGCTTCCTTCAATGAAAACAATAGAAATGAAGGTAACACTAAGTCAGTGAAGAGTCTCAAATGTTGATTCCACTGAGGATTCGGTATATTTTCTAATTTCTTGGAGGAGATAATTTCAATATTTGATTATAACAGAATGCCAATAAGTATCAACAAATAAGATCAGTCATATAAGTTGTATAAAATCAGTGAGAAGATAAATTACACATTATCTGTCAACATGCTCGAGATCTCAAACAATTACCGAAATCATTACCGAACTAGTACATTCCGTACCAAACAAGTGCATTCTGTACCCAATTATTTAAGTTGTCTATAAAATTCAGAAGCAGTATGAATCTAATGAGAAGATAATAAGTTATAAAAAACTTCTAGCATGATTTTAACTTAAAGTATGAATTTAAAAGCGATCATTCGAGACAACTCCTCTATCCGGTCAATCAACGTTATTCGGCTCCAGCCCCACAATAAATTAAACTCTTGGATTCACTGTATACAAAATAAACACGTGTCGCAGACACTACCGGACAGCTCATCAAGGCTGCGGAGATCAAATTTTGAAGGTCGCGTTACTTTAAAAATATCAATCCACTGCCTCTTCTGCGATAACGCGTTCGGTTGCAGCTTTCGCTTGTGCGGGAGGTGCTTCTTTCGAATTGGGGGGCGCTTTGCTCGACATTTTCTGCTGGAAGAAAATATGGGTAAGTCATAGGTTTAGTCCAGATACCAAACTACCGCTACTATAATAAATGTATTAAATCATAGATGAACAGTTGATGAACAGTTATATTTATAAGTTTTAATGCATCTGTATATAACAGGGGTCATGAAAAAAATCAAAAATAAGGACAAATGTAATCTTACCCGGCTGTATTTAGCTTGAGCTTTCGGAAGGAATTCCATAAACATTTTATACGCCTCAGGGGGCATGGTACTCTGTAAGATCTGTAGTAATTGGTACCCCTGCCCACAGTGTAAAACTGCTGACGCGAAATGTTTCACTGCTCCCTTAAAGTCTCCTGCAAACAACAAGAGTCGGTTAATAGCGGCTATAACAACCAGGAATATTTATAATATGTTGCAAAAAGAATAGGATTCAAAGATCTCATGTGTCGGAAAACCAATTTACCCATGCCAAGTTTCTCTTCGCCGACTTGAACTTGCTCCATGAAGAACTTCTGTATTGAGGGTGGGTCCATAGACTTTGGCATGGGGATATCTAACTCATCCTCCTGAAATATGCCGGTTAAAATCTAGCCACGTCATTGTAACCATAATCCTAACATCAAATGAGTGTAATATCATCTCCAAGATACAGTACGTGATAAAGTCTATACAAGATAAGGGAGATTGATCAAACCTTGGATTTGTTGCGCTCGGCCCGCCGTCTTTCTCGAAGCTTCGTCTTGTACATAGGATCTGATCTGCGTTTATAGTCGAAATAAACGCAGTATGCCACAAAGGTTGTAGCAGCCAAGCCACCCGCTATTAAGGTCTTAGACATCCCCTACAAAGATAAGAAATGAATCATCAAGAAGAAATGGAACAACATATCGCAAACTACAACTGAACAATCAACAAGTGTATATTAGAACATTCTATTTCATTCTAGCAACATTACAGATATCTGCTCACTACTCTATGGACCAAGTGCCAGCTTTCGTGTCAGTTCTTTTGGCTCAAATTGAAAAACAGAATAAACTTGATGCAAACACACGTGCAAATGTGATAAACTTGAGCATTACAATTTGTAAAACTGGTTCGGCGGCCGCGCGTGCCGCTATTTCCCGCACTGGGTACAAATAAAAGTGCCAAAAACTCAACTACGTTTTGCACCGTGCGCCTTCGCACATAATAGTAATAGTAATATTTATGAGATTTTATACGTATCAACATAGCATTAAATAACAATGAAATTAAAAACCAGAAAATAATCCATTCGCTTGACTATCACTCTCTTTCTTGCCACGGCGTGCGTATACTGGTCAGGACTTACAGCAATTAAATTTAAAAATGATAAAAATTTATTAGCTACGATAGTTTCAAATTGTTTCGCACACTACTGCTTGCTCCTTTTAGCCTCGTTATTAGCCATGTCCTCTACCTCCTCAGCCGGTCGTTTGAAATCAGAGCTGGACGAGATGGCCTCCTCACGCTGAACGGAAGAAACAGTGGCAACTTGTCGCTGAGATCCACTAACTCGTCCTTCGAATCCACTGGTCGAGCCAGCGAGTCTAGCTTCAAGGCCACTAGTGGAGCCAGCCTGTCTGAACTGAAGTCCTGATGTGGAGCCGGCATTTGAAGTGGAGCCGGCTCTTTGAAATCCACTTGTAGATCCAGCGAGCCTGCTTTCCAGCTGAGACGTAGAACTCACGCCATTTCTTTGACCTGTGAGAATGTCAAATCTATCATTTCTACAATCTGTGTTGGTGACTCATATTTTCTAGTAAGTAATATTCAAACTATACACAGTGCAGGAAAGAATGATATGAAAATCTTAACGTTTTAGATCCGATCATGTTGTATAAGAAATTATTTCCTTTACAAACACATAACTTACTACTGAAAGAGCTGGTGGGGTGGACAGCGTGAGCTGGAGTGCCACTCTGAGCAGGAGTGCCACTAGACTGGGCCTCACTGGACTGAACCACAGCTCGGGGCGCCCTTCTAGCCCCGTTACTGGACGTTATCACGCTACTAGAGGTGCTGGCAGGTTGAGTCCGGGTGGTACTGGCTGGCTGTGTCCGGGTTTGTCCGTTTGTTTGTCTGTTTGTGGAGCTTGGTGAGGTGGAACTGCTGACTATGGGTGATACTCGCACTGTTGGTTTCACTGAAAAACAAGAGTTTAGGGCGTGTAGACGTGTCGTTGAGAATACTGCAAATCATCTGACCGGTGATTGAAAGTGTGATTCTGTAATTCACACTAGTGTTGGCAGTGAAAATTGATGCAGACATAATTTATTTGCAAGAAATCACGAAGTCTCATGACTGCTAATATGCGTAAATCGTCATTTGATGTGTAACAATAATTTCTACTGTCTGCACGCAGACTCACGCACGTGATCCAACAAGATAAAAGCCATCTAATAAAATATGAACTTACCACTGAGTTTAGCACTGATTTCACTGGTAGATGAGGGTGCAGCATGGGACATAGGCTGCACCGGCTGGGACACAGGTCTCTTGCGGACCAAGTGTGATATGTTGGAAACTGGGGCGTTGGAGGAGGAGGCAGGGAATGCTGATGAGGAGCTAGTCGAGGAGGAAGAAGGGATGGAGGAGGAGGCACTCAATGAAGAGGAGGAGGCTGAAAAAGCAGGGTGAGGAGCTGAGGAAGAGGATGTGGAGGCTGAGAAAGCAGGGTGAGGGGTACGATCTGAGTAAGGGGCTGAGAAAGCAACCCGAGTAGGGGCTGAGGAGGAGGAGGCAGAAGAAGAGGCTGAAAAGGCAGGATGAGGAGTTGAAGAGGAGGAGGAGGAGGAGGAGTCACAGCTGCCACTAGCTGCTGCTGCTGCTGCTGCTGCGGCTACAGCTGCTGTGCTCTGAAGAACGACAAGTTATGTTATATGTAAATAATATGTTCCATAGTGAAGTAAAGTTAGACAGTTAAAACTAAGATCTGAAATTCATTTCATTGAATGTGGAAATTTAACGTGCTTACAATTTCAAGCTATTGAAGCAAAGAAGATCGGATTAAAAGCAGTACCCACCTGAGTAGGGATAAGTTTACGGTACTGCTCCAGATGTTTCAAAGATTCTTTACAATCCGATACCATCTTATCAACTTCACTCTTCATCTCGTGCAGGGACTCTTTCTCTGGCCCCTGGTGACGAAAATGTGAATATAAAATTTCATAAAGTTAAGTGAATCTTTGAAAATTAACAAAATACGAAGAAACTCTGCCAAGTTCGGAAATTCGCATATTTAAAAGTTCAGCTTAAGCACGCAGCAAGATTAAGTACGATACTTATAATCTGCTCTAAAATATCGACTATAATCTCCACTAATTTCCCTTATTTGCTACAAACCTGAGAGTTTGATATCTGGGAGGCCATGAGTCGACTACATTGAGAGAAGTGCTTGATAGCGTCCTCGTACTTCTGATCCAAACTAGCAGACAGCCCCATCATGTAGTAGGTAGAACTGATCTCTCTTGAATCAGGCTGCTCTCCAGAAGAGATAAAGTGTTCTATTGCTTCTGTAAAGTGAACAGCTGCTTCGTCCATCTTTTCATTTTCCATATCAACCTGAGAGCATGGCGAGTAGAACACCTTGTATCACCAAACTAAAAACATGCTGGTTTTTTCCATGATGTAACCTAGAAGTTGAACCCCGTGTACTCACTCACTATTAAAAGGATACATTTTAAAAAGGAGGAGGATTACTCACCTCTCCGAGTTTAATCTTCACTTTTGCAAGTTTCCTCTGAGCTTCGGGAGACACCTGTCTAGAGTAAATAACTCTGGAAAGTTCCAAAACTTCCCATGCGATCTGGAGTGAACAAACATCTTCCTCTTCTCCTTCTTCTCCTCCCTCTCCCTCCTCTTGAGCTGGCCCTGCTTCATTATCTGCAGAGAAACTCGAGTCAACAGGACAACTTCAAATTAATATTAGTATCCAGGATAATAAGTTGTTCAAAAAGAAAGAAAGGAATCTATCAAATTAAAGAAACTTGGTTTAAACAAAAACCGGACCATTTCGTCCAGTAGAGTCCGGTCCTTCCTCCTCGTCTTCCTCCTCCCCCGGGGCGATCCTACTGGTGGCCATTATCTGATTCTCATCACGTGCAACTTCTAACAGCGCCGTTGCATACTGGTAGTACGGACCTGCGCACTCATCATGTAGCTCGTCGTACTTAGCGGAGATCAGACTGCAGAGTTCTTCACAGGCGAACACTGACAAGGGGGTACCAGATTAAACTGAGTGAAATGAATTAAACCAAACATTTAATACGAAAACAAACAGATACATATAAATATGGTGGAAGGCTAGTTCTGGTATTCTAGGGTGCTAACAAATTACAAAGCAGAGAGTCACTAACACAAGACAAGGTTATAATCTGCCAAAGTAAATGGTAACCAACCTGCACCCTTGTAATCATCAGTAGCGAACTGTCTGCTGATTTGTTGTTGAAGTTTCTGAATCTGCTGGTCTGAAGGAATGTTGTCGTCGGAAGAGGTGGAGGCCCCTGCTGCGTCTCCTTCTTCCACCGGTACCAGACTCACCATCCTACTGTTTCATGGTTAACTCTCAAGTCTCAATTTTATGTCATACAAATTAACTTATTTGAATAATGGATGCTATAAAGGTTATGAGTTATGACCGGCTAGGCTTTTCTGCTAGATGACCCTGAATTATGGACACGTATATCTCCCTAGTGCATCTCCGATCTGAAGTTCATATCTTGCATGCGAATAGTCGGGCTATTGCAATGTAGTTGATATTGTAGATGATATTGCAAATGGTATTGTAGAATGTAGATGCCGTTTCTGTACAGAGAATGGAACATTCCTGCTCGTCTTAACATCGATCATGTGCCGATTAAAGTTGGTCAAGCAGTCGAAAGGCTGCGCGACAAGAATCTTTTTTCGGATATTAAGTCAGTGGAAAAAGTTAAAAATTTATCCTCCGATTAAAAATATAACATTGTGTTTGAACAACAACAAGTAATATAGTAAATTCACTGTTTTAGAGTTCTTTGCTGGTTTTTTTATTAATAAGATTAAATCGTCGTCAGTGAGATAAATAATACACCATAGTTATCACAAATAATTTAGAAACTATGGTGAAAAGTAAAACTTTTAAAGAATTTTAAAAGTTGATGGAACTGTCACCAAATGATAAATTGAATAAAGGTTTCAAATTCAATAATGAATATTAAATGGTACGATGATACGATATTAATTATATGAATCAACTATCCAATAGTTTACCACAGATCCCAAGACCATGTGTGTATTGTAAGAACACGTTCACAATTCAAAATAATAAGGAAAGAAGTCTGATAAAGGGCCAAAGAATTATAAAATATGCCAAGTTAAGTAATACGGTTAAATCTGCATTTGCCACAGAACGCAGCTCAATCAAACTCTTCGATGCAATAAAATGAATCTGAAATTATGAATTGCAATGCAATGTGTCCACTTGAATTTACGCTGATTGATTGTCTTTTTTTCAACACAAGAGGGTTTATTTCTATCAAAGTTCAACTAATTGAATGAATGATAAGCGAGTCCCTCTCATATAATTATATGTTTTTTCTTCTGAATTTTGTCGTGTGTCTTCTGTTTCTTCTCCTCAAATTGTTTGAATTTCTTCATTAACCTGTCTTTTAGCTCTTTCTCTCGTGCCCTCATCGCTTCAATATTCTTAGCCTGCACAAGAGTTTACAAGTTGGATCATAATTTGCAGTAATAAAGTAATAAGGGGTGCGTATTCGTTAAAATTTGTATATGTAGTTGAAACAGTTAAAGAGTTCAAAGTTTGTATGGCAGTTATTATGAAAGAACACTTTTTATCCTTATAATTGTTAATTGTATCTCAAACCTTATCCTCCTCCAGCACCTTCTGCTCCTCTTCCTGTCTCTTCTTGTGCTCACTGTATCTCTTCAACACGTCCTCCCTCTGTTTTAACAACCTCTCCCTCTCCACTGCTGCTACTCGTATCAGGATACCTTTTAGCAGTTTGGCTGCAACCTGAGTGACATTTTGGTTCATAGCGGTGAACCCTTTTTTGATGAATATTATTGTGATGATTAATTTCGAAAATCAAGAAGTTTTGACAAAATATGGTTAAAAACCTCCCAATAAGGCATACAGTAAAATTAAGTAGAAGAGCCACGAGTAGTGTATTTAAGGGATTTAAGTACCTGTTTACATTCGTCTTCTAAACTTTCAATTTGTTTTATTTCACTCTTATCAATACCAGACTTCTTTTTCTTCTTTTTCGGCCCCTTCGATGACCTTCTTCTTGACTCCTCCATCTTCTTTTCTTCCAATTTCCTCTTCTTCTTTTGTCTCTTCTCAATTTGTTGTTTCATAAGTTCGTTCTGCTGTCTCATGTACGCTTCGTGTTTTCGTTTAGCTTCTTCTGCTAGTCTTTCTCTCTCTAACTTCCTAATAAAAGAAGGTATACTTTTATCAACAATAAAATTCACGTCGTAACGAATAAACATATTGAAGCCCGAAATAGAGCATTGATATTTGATATTCAATGATACCATATCTTCACATGGTCGTAGATATTTTTACACTTACAGGGGTAAAAACGCGCAGTAAATTGAGTTTGCCTAAAGAAAGTTCTCTACAGTCTACAGTAATAAACTGAAGTTCTAGCAGCTAAGTTACCTCATCTTATGAGTTTTATCCGTCATGAAGCCTGTTCTATCGTAGTCCACAACGAAGGGAGAAAATGTTGGTTTCTGCCCAGGGAACAGTCTCATCAGTTGTTTACCCTTTAACCCCGACATGGCCGCTTTGAAGTGGGCGTAGTTCTGATACTGGGGGAGAGTGGGGAAAATTGTTAATTTGGGATGGGAAAATGGGTGATATTTAGGCCCAAAATAGAAAACTTGCAGATCTTGATTTCTATATTAAATATATCTGTACTTAACACTGATACACTATAGCACGTGATTTGACGGTTCACTATATTATATCGAGTATCTGTGCTCATCATCACAAGTAATGAGACGCAACTAATATATTATGGGGAAGTTTTGTCCTGAACTTAGTGAATAACCATCAGTCAAAAAAAATCAGGAAGTGTTTGTGTCGTATCTGTACGAAGGCGGGTCTCTCAGCACCTCTGCTCATCATAACACAATTTGTAATGTACCGAGCAGGTTGGGTCAGTGACACGAGGTAGTGTCACTGATAAGATAAAGACTACTCGGACAACTTTAGTGGTAAATGATAACGTGAACATCTCTGGTTAGAGCAACTTTGGTGAGAGGGATGGCATTTTTGAAGTGAAAGCCTCACTCAGCTCAGTTTGCTCTCACATTTACAACAAGTGTACCTGAATGTAAGCGTTGAAGGTGAGCGGTATTCCAAACTGGTTCCCCAGGGAGGTTATATCATCACCCAATTCACCATCTTCAACACAGTCTTCGTAGTCAACCTGACACCAGGAAGATTAGTAATTACCGACAATTTGTGTTTAAAAAAGAAAATACGGAGATGGAGATGACTTCAGAAATAACGATAAAGAGTATCTTGTGGATACGATTTGGATGTTAAAAAGGTTTCTGGTACCTTTCTGATGGTTCCATATACAGCAAGAGCATCTTTTAAGAACCGTTCACAAGGTTTAGGATTATTGGAATCAAGAGAGAACCACTTAGTTGGTAGGTTCTTTATTATGACCGTGTCTGCTCGTTCACCGGGGATACACTCCGACCAGTTCTTCTTACCTGAATAAAATGGAGCTTATCAAAACCAGTTACCTTACTCGGGATTATTACGACGGGTTTATTAACGACCGGCTAAAATATGGTTCGGGAAAAATATGGCGAAATTGCTCAAAACCCACCACATTTTCCCGGTCGCCATTTTACCGGTGTCCAACCTTTCAATTTTAGATTCAAAAATTTTGTCTCAGATGTAAATTTCCTTATTAGAGATAAGCAAGTTTAGAAATTTTCGCATTGCTAAAACTTGTGAAAGTCCAGTGGCGTAACGAAAGGCCCTGCTGACCCCGCTGTGCAGGGGGCGCCGTCTTTGGGGGGCGCCAAATCGTCGTTTGAATGTGGGACAATTTCGAAAACTTAACTAAAGTACTAGCAAAACTGCGCGTTTAGCTCTAGATACACACCTTTTTAGAGATTTTACCGGCGTATTCTTTAAAATCACCTAATTTGTTCAATTTTAGGGAGGGGCACCAAAAGGGGAGGGGGTGCCAACAGGGGGGGGCGCTTTTTTCGGCAGGGGGGCGCCAACAGGCAACGTTACGCCAGTGTGTGAAACAAGTCGAATTATCAATAATTGTTGAAAGTATACAGAAATAATGACTCGTGGTTAATCAAACTAGATGGAAAATAATTTTTAACATTTGAAGCGTAACAACCAGATCGATATTAAGATAAAGGGAGAGCTGTTTAGTCTTCCAATAAGTTTTAATCATCTTCGTTATCTTCATCTGGAACATCCCTTTCATCAGTTTTAATTAATTCAAGTTTTAATTTAACTGTTACTTTTACTTTGAGTCCTATTTCATTATGTAGAGATAGTCAATACCTAAGAAATTAAAAATTGGCCTATTTGAATCAAATTTGACAATAAGGATATATGACAAGAATTGGGCAAAAAGGTGAATTTTTTGCAATTTTAGCCAAATGAAGTCGAAAAACCTACAACAAGTGTCCCAATAGTCTTCTTTAGTGAATATAAGACAACGATTAAAATATGAGCACCCATACCCCTTGGGAACCCTAAAAGCTGAGTAGGCGGGTTTATTAACGACCGGTGAAAATGTGGTTCGGGAAAAATATGGCGAAATTACCCTAAACCCACCACTTTATCCCGGTCATAATAATCCCGAGTAAGGTAATTAGTTTCATGGAGTCATTTGTAGCCTGTAGGGAGAGACAAGATGAGAGACAAGATGAGCAGAAAAATAAGGAGACACAGTTTTCCACATTCTTTGTCAAGTATTATAACATACCGTTGATGGTTTTGAAGTAAGTCTCCCATTCATCTACGGTTGGATAGTCGTAAGCATCCTCCTTGATCTTCACAGTAAGTATAACATTGCTACCTTGAGCTTTGAACTTGGTGTTGTTCGTATTCCTGTAGCAATGGATATGATCAACTTGATTGCTGATTATTATTGTAAAAATCCAAAATTTCAACACAAATTACAGTCACAGAATTGCAAAAGCAATCCAACATTTCATAAGGTCGAATAAACTATTTTGTTATAACAAAATATGTTATAAATAACATTGATCTATTTGATATTGTACCTGATAACATAGCTCATAATCTCCCTATCCTGGAAGAGGCCCTCAAACAATAGAAACTCCAGGGCAGGACTCTTCTGTAGTCTGATGTGAGTGAACCTCTCGGGCTCTGCTAACTTGTGTAGCTTCTCCATCACTTCCCAGCTGAAATGAGCTTCTGTTAGCAAGACTTGATAAATAATAAATTAATCGTAGACTTTATTTTTAAATAAGTTAGAACGCTTGAATAACTGAATGGTTTATCATCAGAGGGTGTGCAATCTATAGTTAGTTGTAGTTAGGTTAACGATCCGATGAGTGTTGTACAATATTACATAATGTCAACTGTTTCTATGAGTAAACCTTTACAAATATACTAGTAACTACACTTGTTTACAGACTTTTACACTCACCTGCTCACTATTCCTCTATACTAATACACCTCTACACTTGTTGTTGCGCCAAAAATATTAAGTAAATGTAACATGAGTAATGCGTTCTGATACATTTCAAAATTAGAATAAATAAACAAAATGTTATTTAAACTTAAATCAATGAAATTTCAACAAACTTATTGCAGAAAAGTAAGCCCCACCTGTTAACATCAACAAGCGGTTCACCGAGCTCGCTGATCACCAGAATCCTTACTTTAGCATGATCTCTCAGATACAGACCCAGGTGGTCCAACAACTTGACACAATCAGGGAACCTCGCCTGATCCATGATGAGGGAGAGAGCTAGCTGGAGGAATGTTCGGAGCTGCAGGAATGTTCCTGACTTCGTCTTCTACATAGTTGTCATGTGCTATCAGGTAAATCATTATCTCAGGGTCGTCTAAGAGTGCTTGGTTTAGTTTGTGGTTTTCTTTACTGCGAACACGATGATATTTCAATCATAAAGTTTTGGTCAATAAATGTAAAAGGTACCGCAATGGTTCTGTTTTAATATGCTAGTAAAACAATAAAACTGCTGCATAAACAACAATGAACAACAAAATTTAACAATTACGTTCCATCATAATATTATCATAATATATTGATACTTTAATTAGGTTTTTAACAATAATTCTCAAAACATAAACAACCATGCAAATTCTTGAGAACACCATTATAATCGTGAAAAAAAATTGGAAAATCAAACAATTGTATATTGCGTGCAATGCAAATGTATGATATGTCATAGCATTGGGCTATAAGTAATGATAATGATTCACGGGACCCATAAAAAGTCACCTTACTTTCGATGAAACACACTAAAGATATGGTTTTAATAAATGAATAGTAACATCTATTAAAAATCGACAGTATTCGTTAAATTCAAAGTGTCGAAAACATCAGATTATACCCTAATTTTAAAAATTGAGCCAGACGCCCATTCATTGAACTTCATAATAATCAAAATTTCAAATCATATCTACATAACGTTCCAGTTGATCAAAAGATTAATTTTCAAGGTGGTTCTACTGGTGATCGACAAACAGGGCACTCTGCCTTTCTGTTCAACCAGTTATCAATACACTGAGTATGGAAGGAGTGAAAACAAGGTAAAGTTCTGATCTTTTCACCCTCATCAAACTCACTGAGACAAATATTGCAACTTGACTTATCATTTGGGTTATCTGAGCTTTTGTAAGACTGAGTCAGGGTGCTTTGAGATATATCGTGTTTTGAGAGACCCTGCCCTGGTTCCAAGGACGATTCCTCGTCTAGAGCAATCATCTGTTCGTATGTCATGTTATCTGAACCCTGGCCGAATATCAGGTGAACCCCATGACTGCCCGGTCCTCTAAGACCTTGTTGTGCCCACCACTGAGGTCCCGCATTCCTTAAATTCCCTTGTAAGAAACCTGGAGGAACAGGCACCCCGTTTAAAAACCCTGACATACCATAACTAGAATCTGTGATTGGAACTCCATTGAGGATGATACGGGATGATATTTGATGTCCTCCACCCCGGATTCTATTGAAGATATTGCCTCGAGCTCGGTTGGCTCTACGGCCTGATGAGGTACCAGGCAGATTATCTGAATTAGTATTTCCATTACTGTTATTGCTGCTGGATTGTTGTCTATTATTACTACTGCGATTTGTAGACCTCCTATTCGTAGCTGTTCGATTCTGAGTTACAGTTGATGAGGCTGAAAGTTGCTGTAACGTAGGCCGATTATCTGAAATTTGAACAGTTTGAGTATCAGAAGTCGCTGATCCGGAAGAGCGTGTTAAACGAGTGGTTGTTGTTGGGGATCTTGAGCTCGAACTTCTCCCTCTGTTTTGGTTGCTTCTGGTCCTTGACCGAGTGTTTGCACTGGGAGCCTGACTGTTGTTCGTGATAACAATACTTGAACTGATAGACGAAGCCCGAGTCTGAGATCTTGTAGATCGACCAACAGTAAGGACTAAATTATCCGACTCATCAGAGGAGGGTTGACGTCGTGTTCTTGGTGGCCGTGAATCTTCCACCACAGAATCATCTAAAATAACAACATCATCACTAGTCTGATTAACACGTGATGAGCGTGACGTATGGACAGGAGTTGTAAACGCTGTGTTCAGAGCATCTGTCACAAGCCGGTCAGTGTCAGGTGACATTGGGATAACCCTGTCGGACATTTCATCATCACTCAGCTGAACAAAACTCAACTCCCTAACATCATCGTCTGGTTCCTCATCTGAGGCTACATAGTACTGAACAGGAACAACAGAGGTAGAGGGCCCCGGGGAGATATTTAGCGCATGTGTGGGAACTCGGCCTAATCTGATGGGACCTCTGTTGAACTGATGTTGAAGTTGAAAGGCGGCCCTCTGGTCCTCCTCCTCTTGTAGTCTACGAGCTAATAGTTCACTTGAGAGGTCAACATCGCTTGAAATCATATATCCTGCACTTAGTTTCAGTAATTTCTTTTCAATATTTATTGTATTTTGATATTTTTGTGTGGATATGAGAAAATTATGTCATTGATACTACTGTAAATAAAATCCGCCTGACTTCCACAGAAACGAAAATATTATTGCAATGAATGTAAATTATAAAATATCATGAATCACAAACTTTATCACTATTCCTATACACACAATCATTATAGTTAGTTTTCAAAGTTCAAATTTATTGGGAAGTCGAGTGTAACCGTTGACAAAGGAGCACATCTTTAAATTATGGCATTCGACATACAAACTTGGAAAGTGCACTCAAATTAGATATAGCCAATTAACTATGACAGTTGTTTATTGACTTATTAGAAAAATAAATGGTAAAGTTTAAACAATGACCATTTTAAAGATTTTTAAAGATAAAGAAGTGAACCTACTGTTAAAATAAAGATATTTCACTGACATTAATTAAACCTACCACCTGACCTTCTAAAATCATAAATACTAATAGTGTATTTGCCTATTGCCTAATCATTACTAATGGTGTCATTAAATTACTACAGCTAACTGAATGCTATACTTTAGTTGACTAGAAGATATAATATATATAGCACTTTCGTAAACAGAGGTTAAGGCATTTCATTATGCAGAATTTACAGTTCAAATTTAAGGGTTGGACAATTAAACATTAAATCTAAATACAAATTGCTTCTTAAATTTCCTGACTACAATATGTCTAAATTACTCCCACATATCTTATATTAATCAAATCGATATCAAGAATGTAATTATAATTGTCTTTGTTCATAGCACTGAGCAATCTAACTCTGTTTGAAGCTTGCAGGGGGAGTGAATATACCGCCAACCTTGCTAACAGCTCTCGACGGAGCAAATCCCAACATCTTCTGAATGTTCTAGAAAATGTTTATTAGCATCATTAACATGATTATTGATTAATAGCATAAAACGCAATATAAGAACAATTCTTAGTACTTATTTTACTACACATAAAAAACATACTGTACATAAATTCCAATTTATCAATGCATTCCCATAGAACGAAGAACTGATGTAATACATTGACAGTTATTGAAAATAGAACAAGATTTTAACTTTTAAGATTGTACCTGTCTTATGCTCATAGTGCAGAGGATGTAGAGGAAGATAAAGCTGCAGTCTGTATAATCATCACCAGCAAGGTTCCGGTGAGATATCCCTTGCAGGAAGGAGATGGGAGTGAAGGGGAGTTTACCTACCACTCTACCATCAAATCTGAAATACTTCTGTACTGAGTCTCCCAACAATTTAAGGAATTGCATAGAATTACTTACATAGAAATGAATATTCCCATGAGAGATGTCAATATAAAACCGATGATAACTTTAAAAGATTTGAACAAAAACTTTTAAAGATTAGAACAAAGAATTGCATAGAATTACTTACATAGAATTGAACATTCCCATGAGAGATGTGAATATAAAACCGATGACAAACATTGACTGCATTTTAACATAACTCAGGTCCCTCTTTTCACTTTTCAGCCGTTCCTCTTCTTTTTCTATTTTCTTTTTATGTCCTGGTTGTCTACTTATGTCAGTCACTGTTTCTTTCTTCTTGTCCACTGATGATATGGGTGGGGTAAGCGCAAGGATTAACTATTGTGAGATTGGATATTGTTGTGTATTCTGATTCACTTCATTTTTATAAGTAAAATAATTGATTGGTCAATTATTGTTTAGTCAAGCTAACTATTACTACGACCAGCTGCAACATTAAAAGTAGAAGCTTTAGTTGTTGTAAGAACATTGTCACATGATTCGTAAAAAGTCTATTCACGTTTTTTTGTTTGCTTCTCAATGCTTGTTTTCAGCTTTTTGTACTTTTCTGTCCGATAAACTAACACATATGTTACCCCTGAAATGATGAAATTAAATTCTGGGCAGTGGCATTTCAATGGATTAATGCTTTAAATTCGAAACATTTGAATTTTAATAGATGTGGATTCTCGTGGGGAGGTAAGGTAAATTTGTTCACTTTTATAGTAAGTACCTGTTCAGCAAAGGAGAGAGGTGATGCACATTTGTTTACTTTTAAGGGTAAGTACCTGTTTAGCAGAGGAAAGAGGTGATGCACATTTTGTATTATGGAACGCTTGTAACTCGGATTGTAACCCCTTCTTGTTGAGGTACATTTGTTTACTTTAACATAGAGGTTCTGCTGAACAGAACCTCTATGTTTAAGTAAACAAATGTACCTCACCTCCCCACAAAAATTCACATCAATATATAAATGAATAAAACTGCTCAGTAATTGATCGCTTTAGACAAGCAAAGGACCTTGTTGTACTAAAATGATTTAGTATATAATTCACCACAAAATTATGCATACCTTCTGCAAACAATGCAGTACATATTGATATCGCCACAATAAGTAGAGTGTCGGCAAACATATTTTAGCTTGGACTTCCTGCATTTTAGAGAAATTAGTTACAGTTAATACAGAAAATGTAGCCTGAGAAAAAATAAGAACTCAAATTTGAAACTATATTTATATATTATATGTATTTCAAACAAAGAGAAACACTCAAATTGGCAGCAAACAATCCGTTTCATGATGTGTAGAAAACAATACCAATCCTCTATATATATGTATATATACGTGTACGCCTTCTATTTGAAAGCAAACCAAGCTTTGACCGGGCAGAGTATTATGAAACATGTGCACGTGCAAGACCATACAGTGAACACATCGCAAAAAGGAGCTTTGCTTTGGAAAACACTAAGCCAATATTCAATACCGAGAAAATCATTTTAACGGCCAGGTAGCGCAGTTGGTTAGAACGCCTGTCTTACAATCGTTAGGTTGCGAGTTCGAAACCCACTGACTGCCTGGTCGTGGGGTGAGCGTCGTCGACGTTCAGCTAAGGATCATGAGTGGTCTATGCAGCCCCCCGGTCTACTCAGCCGAATACTCGAGAAATCGGGTGTGAGGGTTAAATGAGGAGCTGCACATTGCAGCAAAGTCTCGGACGAAGAAAGTATGGTACACACTACCTTAACCGTCACTGGCCAAAAAGATCCTTCGGCTTCCTGTAATTGGCTGGTTGCACTTGTGTAACATTGTGGCTGTTGGAATACACCGAAGTAAAATAAGTGTCTAGATAAAAAAATTAAAAAATAAAAAAAAAAAAAAAAAAAAATGTCAATCCACAACCTGTACACCCAACATACATGTATATCCACTGAACTGTTTAAAATCTTGAAACTGCATCAACCTATCTCTCTGACAAGTTTATTCCAAACAAGTTCCAGAGCATGTAGCCAAACTATGCGGGTCCCCCGACACAAACTTGAAATTTCTAAACACAATTTTGTCTTCAAAGGTACGACTATATGGAACAGTTTGGTTGATAAAATATTCGACAAATGCACTCCTAATAATAATAATAATAAATACAACATTTATAAACCGCCTTATAGCTAAATCATATAACTCGATATAATTTAATCCTGGAGATAAACTCCAGTGCTTTCTAAAGCGGCTCTTACATTAACTGAGCTTAGTTTAATTGAAAATTAGACATGACAAGTTCATTTTACCTATGTAAATGCAAAATCAATCAAATGCTAGAGAAAAGAAGTATATTTTAAGTTTGGTCTTGAAAGATGTAACTGACTCAGCTGATCTTATGTCGTATGGCAAGGAATTAAATACTTTAACTGCACAGTGACTAAAAGCTTTCTCTGTGTTTACATAGTTAGGAGAGGGCGGAAAACTAAGGTAAAAATAATCATTATCAAGACGTACATTTTTAAAACTTTGCTGCCTAGGAGATATCAACTCTTTTAAGTAAGGAGGAGCTATATTATTTAAACACTTGTAGGCAAGTAGGGCAATCTTAAAATCTATTCTAAATCTAACTGGTAGAAAATGAACTTTCTTAAGTAGTGGAGTAGTGTGTGCCTTTCTTCCTCTCCCGAAAATAAATCTTACAGCAGAATTTTGCACCTTCTGTAAACGACTTAAATCATAAGAGCTCAGTCCAAAATATACGCTATTGCAATAATCAATTCTAGAGAGTACTAGAGCATGAACAAGCTGAATCTTAAGGTTAAAAGACAGTTTTGATGCAATAAACCACAAATTTCTGATCTGAATATTACATGCTTGAACCACTGACGTAATCTGATCACTCATTGAAAGATAACTGTCCAAATACAGCCCAAGACTCTTCACAGTTCCACTAACAACATGTGGCTCTTGATCCTTAACAATCTGTAGAGAGGCTGGAATATTTTTTGAGTCAAATTTAGAGGATATAACGATGACTTCAGTCTTAGAAGAATTCAGTTGAAGGAAATTTTTTGTCATCCATTTCTTGATATTAGACATACAGTGTTCCATATTGTGCTCTAGCTGTGATGGGTCATCAGAATCATGAGTGAAATACAGCTGGGTGTCATCAGCATACAAATGAATACAGCACCCATGCATACTTGCAATGTTCTCAAGATCTTTAATGAAAACAATGTCATGGTCCCTGGCTCTAGTAAATTTTCCGACCTTTCCTCCCCCATCTCAATTATCAAGAGCCGTATCAAAAAGCTCTTACTTGAAACCCAGCAATTGACAACACCTGGGCGAGAAATTGAGTGGCTCCCCCTAAATAGCTGGGGCATTGAACCAGCTTGGTCAATCAGCATCCCATCCCTTGCATACAACTAATTACAAAAGCGCTAATTATACCTGTTTCAAAAGCATCCTGTCTGGAAGTTCCCTGACTGCCGTGTGAATCTTTGGATCTATTTTTGGATCTATTTTTATATTGATATGATTTTTATATACCTATATATATTCCTCGCATAATTTCCATGTCCGCCTGAACAAACCTGGCACCATCAAATCTTACTCTAGAAACCCCAGAACTCATCAAGCCTAGTCTGAATTCAAAACTAGTTGACCAGCTACGTACAGTTTCCTGGACAACTGGAACCTTTTGGGCCATGCACAAGCCAATAGCATGTATGGTCCTGCAGTGGGGTCTCCTTGTCCTTGGATCTGTGTTTTGATCCGTCTTTTCTTAAAATTTTCCATTTGTGTCACTTAGAATCACCTTTTAAAATGTTAATCGACACCACTGGTCCTAGTTAAATTTAGCCATGGCACGACTACTCGAACGTAACAGTTAAATAGGTGTGTCATACTATTATATTCTTATAATTATATCATATGAATTGATTGCACTGCTAATAAATAAAATACTTTGTTTTACTAAAATACTTTGTTTTACTATATATATATATAAAACTCTAGAACCCTGGTCACAAGAGCAACTGCCTAAACGTGCAGAAGTGAAAACAAACACATAATAATACTAGCAGTCCTTACTCCTAAATTTGAAACTAACTTTTTAACTTTGACAAAAGGCTTGACATGCAATCATTATTTAAAAGCTGCGCATCTAAATGACATCTGAAAGGGAATCCTAAGAAGATTCTTGATCTTTTGTCAGGGCTCCTCCTCATTTAAACCTCAATCATCATTCGGCTGAGTCGACCGAGGAGACATAACGCGCAGATGTGTAATTTCGCACATATCCAACGCATCCTTAGCTAATCCCTAGACTAGGTGACACCAGGATTCAAACCTTGGACCTTCAGCGCAGAAGGGTTGAGGGCCATAACCCAAACCACCCTGAGTCAGTCTCCCAAGCCTGTCAAAGCAGTCCACAGCTGCATTTCTTAAATGAGGAGGACAAACAAAGGGCTTGCTGGCATCAAATTTGACGAAAACAATTATTCCCTGGCTAGTTTAAAATGTAGCTCACTCTTAGAGTAGAGTTGAGTAGAGTAAAAAAGAAAAAAAAAACAGATAAGACAACACATGTGAATAATGACTAAAATTCTGAATTCTAATGTCATCAACACAGAATTTCGGAAAGTGATCCATTCATTTCTATAAAGTAAAATAAAGTTACGTAAAATATATGCCATCTCATCATCACACATGTTTATAAAATATCATCGGCCATCGAACTATGTGAAAAAATATATAATAAATATTCCCCACCAACATTAATTATTTGTCAAATAGAATATATTTAAAACATTTATCAAAACATAATCTTATTTTAATATAAAAACCTAATCAAACTTCCTTGATAGGACACAAGGATACAAGGATACAAGGATACAAGGATATATACAAGGATACAAGGATACAAAAGTGATAATTACTTTATTGAGTACACAATTAATTCTGAAATAATTTACAAATGTGTAGGGATGAAAATATTTGACATACGTTGCATGCCACTTTTCGCGCGCGAAGCGCGCGCCGCCGATATTTGGATACGAAACATGTATCAAGAAAATATAAGGGATGATACTCGTAAAATATTTGTTTAAAATATTACAAACAAGACCGTTGACGAGTATAACTCGGCGCGCGTCTTAGTAGGTTATAAACCTACAAATGATTTGTTTTGATTCATGTTGACGACGTCGATCCTTCGCAGCTTTAAGCTTGGTGTGGCCCAGTTCACAATTAAGTGGTGCATCGCACCGATCTAACGAAACATTATTTGATGCGTGGAGAAGCCCAGTAGTACATCACACAATTGTAGCGCGATGCGTTACTGTGCCGCGCCGAGCTGCCATGAATTGACATCGTCAATTAAATCACACAACAAAATTTGTTGAGGACTAGAACTATGCTTGCCCCACGTTGTGTATAAAGTATGTGTAGTAACCAGCCTGTCACTCACAAATGCTCGGCCAAGCTTCGCTGTAGGTTTATAACCTACCATGCAAGACAAGCGCCGAGTTGGACTCGTCGACGATCTAATTGCTAATATTTGAAACAAATATTTTACGAGTATCACCCGTTAAAAGCTTTGCAGCGACGTAAATACTGAAAACAAAACTGCAACTGCTATCTAAAATTTTAAATATATAAGTTACTATATAATAATACATAAATTTTTATTTACCACACAACTTATGATATATAAATTATAACAAGTTAAGCGTTGACGGATGTTACTCGTCTAAATTTCTTCGAATTAGCGCGCGCCGTTGTAGCGCGATGCACTACTGGGTCGCGCGCGCATCAAATAATGCTTCTCGCAACCACTTCGGTAGATCGGCGAAATGCACCACTGTGCCTCACCGAGCTGCGAAGGATTGACATTGTGAATCAACGCGCGCCGCTTTCTTCTCGAAATGGCACGAGCTACGAAGTAGCGCGCGCCGGGCCAGATCATTAACAATGGTCAAGTTAAGCGCCAAAATTTGGCACCACATGACATTCCTTAGCAACAAGTTGTTTATAGTTCCAAAAGTTCCAGTTGTACAATAAATATGTTCGTTAAATAATTTTTACAAAGCACATTTAGGAAAGAATAATTTACAATGGTACAAAACGCACTATGCAAAACAATCCATGGATTACACCAGCAATTATAACA